ATTGCCTAAATACACATACCATAAACTTTAACGATTTCTTATGTAAGAGAGTAGCTAAATAGCAAGTTGTTATACTAGTCCTAATTATAATACTAGAAAGATATACTCTTCGCATCATAATGCAACAACCAGCCAAATTGAGGAAAAGGTCAAAGAACAAGTGAAAAAAACAAATAACCAGGCAAGGACAAGCTAATAAATAAGTTTTATGAAATCTAACCTGCTAATAATCAAGTAGTTTTCAGCTTTGATAATGTCTTTCGTGCTTCCACTCGGTAGGGAACTATACAACAATATGAAAAATCATTATAATTTATCAATCTATTATAAGTCGGAAGAGAGGAAAGGTAGCTTATCAATTCTAATACAAAAAAAAAAAAAAAACATGTAGTTACTCTCCAATGGAATAACCAGACAAGAGGAATCACCAATGGGAAATAATAATGCACTTAAGTGTAGCGTATACAGAAAGAACAATCTTTTAATCCAATACAACAGAGGAGAAAACATATGCCCTTAAAAGAATAACATTTACCAGAAGGCGAAAACCTAACCTGTTCTGGGATGGAAAAATCTGAATCTCAGCGTAGTCCCAAGGTGAGCATCAATTTCCCCTCCATTTTCAATGCGCTTAAAACTGGACCCAAGCAGAGCAACCTGTATGGGAAAAGAGGGAAACAAAGTTTAGGTAAAAAAAATTCAGCATTTGAATATGCAGATTTACAAAAATTTAGCACTTAACAAACTAAAAGCCTGCGAATTCAGTGTAGTAGATACACATACATACATACAAACATACATATACATAAAAATATAAATTCAAAGATAAAGAAAAACCAAACAATTTACAAGAGCAAAGAAAATGAAAGGATAAAGAATGAAAGACATACCTCTATCATCTGTGGGAGGACTCATATTTGCTTTAGGGGCCCTTCCACCACCTGCTTAAAGATGATTCTTATATAACAACTCCACCGTCTAAAACAACCAACAATGGAAGTAGAAGATTAATAGGGGAAACTACAAGTACTCCTCATAAAAAATACATTTACAAGTGTTCAAGATAAAAAAACAAACAAAATTTCTGAGATTTTCCATAAAGCAGTTCACACAACCAACAAGAGGGGAAACTACCACATATTTCCAGTGATGTTCAAGGACCAAAAAACTTTCAAACATTAAAAACTTAAAAATGCATTACTAGGTTGTTCAGTCCATAAGACTTTGCACAAGGTTACATGGCTAGTTGGATTCGTTATAGATAAATATTATCATCTTCATTTTGATTCCAGTATTCAAGCACAAAGACTAGAGAAGTTTTTATCCTTTAAGGTTATGTAACAGACCAAAGAAATTGACCAACTGGAATTACCGCTATTGACAGTAACCATGGTAAAAACCTATTGAAACCGACTGACATAACCCTTAGCTTGATGTTAGTAAATAAAAGACCCACTCGGCTAACAGACTACAATATTCATTAGATACACAATCATTATATAGTCATCAAAACAAATATATTCAAATTCAAAACCATTCCCACAATCAGTCGAAAATGACACAAAAAAACAGAGTTAATTAAAATCAATACCTAGAAGTTCCAGATCTGCCATGGAGTCAGGCTACCTCAACATCTTTCAGAACCTGCAAATTCAAAATGTCTTAATCAAATATATAAAAAGAAAAATCAGGTAAGCAAATACAATAGCTTTGAAAGTTAATATCATAATCCCTTGTTTGTTGCAGAAGCCCTTTGCAAGGTTTGTGCTTTCTTGTGCTTCTTTGGATAATGACGTAGAGAAGTTCTTGTCAGGGAAATTTTAGTTGGAAGCTAGTTGGAAATTAATAGCATCATATCAAGCAATTTGACTAGAGCATACAAAAGCTAGTTGGAAATAAAATTAACTATAAAGGGAAGATTAGGAGAAAATTTGGAAGAGACTTGAACAAATAAATCATTTGCCACTTCCACTACCATAGCAATTTGACAACAACATATCAAAGTACTACCAGTGCCAGTTCATTTGCTTTCTAAGGAACCCCCTTCTCTTTCTAGATTGTAAGTTCATCAATACATTATACATACTACTACCAGTACCAATTCATGCTTTATTTCCTAAACTAAATTACTCTACCAGTTCAACTTCCTTAAATAATCATTGCCTACTGTACAAATACGAAAAACCACTCGTTGTACAATCAACCTGAATTGTACAAATGCGTTCATAGTGACAAGTCACAAATATGAACAATCAACGAGAAATATGAACAAATTTGAGCAAAATGGAATAACAGCCTTCCAATTAATTATTGTGCCATGAAAAAGTTGAATAACAGCTTTCCAAAGCCAAATATACCATTGGCTAAGACATTAATTAGTACATATACAACTCAATATTTGTTAATTCATAAAAATAGCCAATCACATTCCAGTATAAATTCGAAGTGACAGCAGGTCACTTTCCATTCGAAGCAAAACTAGGTATGTTTGAATCTGAACCAGATCAAATCCCCTTTTGATTATAACCCAAAAGAGAAAAATGCTCATTTCCCTTGTGTTTCAAACGAACCCTAACCCTAACCCTAAAATTAATCACAAATTATTAACTAAATTAACCAATACAAGTTCTAAATTGTTACCATTTTACATGGAACGAAGTGGAGAGGAAGGAATCGCATTATACAAGCACTAAACTGAAGGGGAACTGGGGATGAGATGAGAGTTGAGGCCGACTGATTTGTAGATTCCGTGTGAAGGAGATAGATTTGCAGAGTCTGTGAGAATGTGTGAACTCGACTGAAGACTTGAGTTGAGACCCACCGATTCGCAGTGTATGAAATTTGAAGGGAAAGGATTTGCAAATTATGTTTCTACGTGAGATGTGAACTCGACTTGAGAATTGAGATGAGAGGCGAGAGAGACAGAGAGAGCAAAATAGAAAATTTTGGGGAAAATACAGAGATAGAGAGCCTAGGGTTAAAGAGAGGCTCGGTTTGATTGGGAAGGGGAGAGCCAGAGAGAGGAGAGGCGGAGGAATTGAGGAGAGGTTGGGTTGAAAGAGGAAACAAAGAGGCGGAATGAATGAAATGAGGACATAGTGAGGTGTGAAGATTGAGGAAAATGGTTTCTTATTTTGTTTAAAACATTATTTTAAACAAAGGGCACAAAAAATCTACTTTCACTTTAAATATATTAAATTATAGGACACAATTATATTTATGGTGGCATTGCAAATTAATAAAAAATTTCATTGCTGACATTAAAGGCACAAAAGTCATGGCTATGTGCCCAATAATGTATTTGTGTCCAGTTTTCTTAACATTGCACACAATTCATGGTGCCCATTGCGAAATGAGCACTGTTCCACCTTATTGGTGCTTAAACAAACACAAACACCTCATTTGTGTCCCTAATTTTGTGCCCAAAGGCCATTTTTCTTGTAGTGCTATTTTAGGATCCACTTGAATTTTTACTAAGGATTGATTTGGAAAATATTTTATCAAAAGCGTTTTCGGTCATTTTAAAAGTATTTCCAAACGAGTCGTTAGTGTTTGAAGAATAGGGGACAAAATTGTTCAAGTCCACGTGTATAGAGATGAACTGTGAAAATAAATGCAAAATACATTAATCAATGCATGTTATAGCATGTCCATCAAACTACTCCCTTAAGCAAAATTATTTGTATTCCCATATTAGAATACATAGATTGGTTACATCCACTGATAGAGCCAATGAAGGTTCATTGAAAAGTATTATATTTTGATTCTTTGACCCTATCTTCAGATATATAACTCATGAATGAAATTTCCCATTTGGTTTTTTTTTTCTCTGTTGTGTCAATGTCAATGATTATCTAATCACCAACCCTAATTATACATTTTAAGTCTAATCATGTCATATTAAAAATGTAGAAGTTAATATACATAATACATTTAAAATTGTCTTCAATGAGTTTTCAAAGTATGATTTTATGTTAGGGAAATTTTATTCAGACCCATTTATTCTTTTTTTTATACCCAACTTATAGTTTTTAATCTTGAAATTCCGAATCTGCCCAACAATTTTCTTTCTACACCCATAATGAAAAAGAACAAAAATATAAAATATAAAATTCCAGCACTAGAAATCCAGGGCCATGCCATCACTCCAAACCCTAACCACCCCCAATTTCTACCCCTCCCCAACCCCACACCACCATCTTCTTATCACCCACAATGAAACCCCCAAAGATCTCAGCCATCAATGTCCCTTTCCCGACCTTTCGCCGGCCACACAATAGCTCCCTCTTCCATGCAATCCTTCTAACATGTCCAAATTATGCCAAAATTGTCGACATGTCGAATCTAATTGTGTTGGACCATATGTTAATAATACCATTAATTTTTCCAAAAAAAGAAAAAAAATATATTGACATGTTTCTTTTGGGTTTTTTAATTGGGGGTTGTTGGGAATAATGTTATAATTTCCAAATTGTTGTGGGTGGTAAGGGAGGTGGCGGTGGGGAGTTGGGGACGTTAGAAAATGGGTGGTTGAGGTTTGAAGAGATAGGGTGGCGGGAGTTGCCTATTGCTAAATTATTATTATTTTCTTTTTGTTCTTGTTGGGTGTAGAAAGAGAATTATTGGGCACATTTGAAATTTCAAAATAAAAAATAATAAGTTGGGTGTAGAAAGAGGATAAATGAGTCTAAATAAAATTTCCCTTTATGTTATTATATAAGTTTTCATAATTTTATTTCATTTTTCACTTTAAGCTTATCGATATTTAAGGTTCATCTCATGGTAGAATTTCTGGTTGCACCACTAGTTACATCACATGACGTTATTTTAGTAGAATATGGACACGACCCAATGATCACTACTTCTCTTTCTACGTGCATAATTGTAACACAGATTTGGGTGAATTATGTTGAAAAATAATCGTAGCATCGATTTGAGTAATTGTGAATCATGTTGAAATGTAATAATAAGCAACTCAAAAAAGGGATGTCAAATGTGTGTTAAGGCAAAACCAACTTTATAATTAAGCTTAATAATTGTTGAAAGACATTAAAATGACGGAAGTAGATTGAACAAGATGAAACGTTTCTGAACGAGAGTAGCCACTTGACTCTAATTCATAGGACTATAGTTGCTGGGTTCATAGTTCTTGATTACCCTAACTGGGAAGGACATGTAAATCGATTTTATACCTAAAGCATAACAATAACTAATAATAATCAAGCTTGTCGCTAACTTAATTGGCCTTGAGAATACTAGATAGTTGATACTCTTAAGTACCCTAATAGGGAGGCCAGTAGTTATCAAGATCAACACAAGGCTCCATGTTCATAAACCTGTTTCCACTCCCACCATTTGCGTTGTTGTTGTTCATGTCTATTGTTCCATATCCACCTTGATGATCTGGACCGTTCATCATGGCTGTATTAGTAACATCTTGCACTTGAGGATGATGATTCATAGATGGAGGGCCTTGATGATGCAGATGTGGTGGTGGCATTGTCCTCAACATAGGCTGTGATGCTGGGCCACCAAGATTCAAGTTCAACCCAGATATTGTAAACCCTCCTCCTCCTCCAACACCACCACCTCCTCCACCAATTGGGTAATTGAACTGGGGTTGGATTGGTAGGTTAACAGTGCTACTTGATGATCCGCCGCCTCTTAAGACTCTTGAAATCTCTGCCATCTCAGCGCTAGTCATGTAATTTCTGCCATAGGGGAACTGATGGTGGTTTGGATCACCTAGCTGCATTAGGGGTGATGGTACCATACTTGGACCTATTTCTAGGTTGTAGGGATTGGCCGCTCTTGATTGGTTCGTTGGGTACTTTTTTATACCTGCACTCTTTTGGAAGACTCGACAAATCACCCACTCATCCTGCTAGTACAACATTAATTTAGTCAAATCAGTTAATTATTCATTATTCATTATTTGATCCATAATATCAAATCTATATTCATGGAATAATATAGAGTGGAAGACATAAATCACAGGGGGCAAGAATATCTATATTATTTTACTTTCGATATATATGGACTATGGACGGTATGTCGTCTACGAACATCGTTTCACAAATCTTGCATGGAATCATGCTGTATATAAATGAAACTTGTGCTCAACTCAATGTGTTCATGTATTCACAAGTTTATCTCAGAGAGAGAGAGAGAGAGAGAGAGAGAGAGAGAGAGAGATTGGAAGTGTAATTTCAGTTTCACAAGTTCATCAGCCCTAGTCCTATTAATATCAAAGGTGATTTCCACTAATTATAAGATTACTTAAAATGGAACTTAAAACTAGTTGTTTTAGATCCTTAATTCAAATTCATACTTAGATGTTATTAATCAATTTAATTAGGTATACCTTGGATGTTCTAAAGCCGGATTTAGAATGAATCCGATATTCGTGCATGACCCAGTTGGATTTTTCGCCACGAGGAGCTCGGCCTCTGTAGAAAACAAGGGTCTTTTTCATCCCAGCTAGCTCAGATGTGACACTGTTGAAGATCTCCTTGTCTTTTCCTGTGGTCTTCCAGTAACCTATGTTTGTTGCTCGGTTTGTTCTCACTCCCGTTGGGTACTTTCGATCTCGTAGGCTGAAAAAGTACCACTCCTTTTCTCCCATTTTCGCTTTTGCTACAATATTTGATCCAAGAAATACAATTGTTCATCAACACTACTAAATTAGACAAGAAGCTAATTTGTCTATGCTAGCTGGTGAGAATATTGATATATGTGTGTGTGTGTGTATATGGGAAATTTTTTAATTATTTTCCATTATCAATGCTACAAGAAATGTTTTCAGAACAATATATCTTGTGAGTACAACTAATTTGAAGAATATATACTTCTGATCGAAGAAGAGTATATACGATGAAACATGTAATGTTCATATGCAAAGTTCACATGAGTTAAATACATTTTATGAAATACTTGGTCTCAATTAAAAATTAATTAATAATATCAATAAGCAAAAGAAATTAAATCCAACAAAGAGCCGAGAAAAGTAAGCAAGATTTACCCACTAGCTACTGCTCTTAATGCTATTTCTCTGTACAAATCCGAATCCCCCCCTTCCCACCTCCTCAGATCATATTATACGTATAAAACTAATAAAGATCTGATGATCGGTGAAAATATTTGGGGTTCTTTTAAAGGGTATATATATGTACAAAACTATGGATATATAGAAATAGATCAAATTTGTGCATGTGACGGATGACCTGAAAACAAGGGTTAGATTGGAAAAACTATATATATGTGTACCAGGAAGTTCCCAGGGTTCGCATTTGTTGAGATCAACATCGGCGATCGCCCTTCCAGTAAAAGTGGCATCATTTATCTTGTTCATGAGATAGAAGGTGATAAGTTCTTCATCCGTAGGATGAAATCTGAACCCTGGTGGCAATTCCTCCTTTGGCTCTGCTGTCATGATGTGATGATCTTTCAAATTTCCTTTTTAGGGTTTTGCCCGGCTTGTCTGGCTTCTGCATATATGACAAAGATAATCATATGAGATCGATCGATCGATCAAGAATACAACTTGAATTACTCAATTTGAAACTTGCTAAGTTTGAAAAAGCTATCTAACTTTTCTTCATCTCCTAAAAATACTCAACAACATAAACCCTAGATGGGTACTGAAGACTTGTAGGTGCCAGTTAATTAATTAGCTAGCTCTTACAAAACCAAAAGAAAAAAATAAAAGAAAAAGAAACTAGCTATCTTCCTTGCATATATGGAGAGCGATATGTGTTCATACATATTGATTAGGTCTTGACACTTTTCAAAACCTTTTTGTTTTGGGGATAAAATAATATCAAGAGATCCGATGCACGAGGGGTTACGATGGATGAGTGATGAAGGTGCAAGAGAGATCTTGAGACGTTGAGCCTAGCTAGGGCTTTTCTTGCTCAGCATGCACAAGAAATTTTGGAATTTAAACTTTCTAGTAGCTGGTGTGAAGAAAAGTAATTGGGGGCAAACTCTGTGTGAAGGTGAAGTTCCCACCTACTATGGGTCTTGAGATACAAGGTTTTACAGCTTTTAATATTATCAAAGATCATGGACGAAATCCTTGTTTTGGGATTATTGCATTATAGTCTACCTGCACTCATGAAGTGTGAATTGACAGAAATGACCTTTGTAATTGATGGCCCCGTGCGCATTCATTTTTGTTGGTTTTCAAGTATACATCCTACAGTTACTGAAGCTGGGATCTTCCTTTTTGGTTATATATACGAGAAGTTTGAATTTGATTTTACAACTATATCTTAGATATTTTTGGAAATTTTTTTTAGCTCAGATTGTGTGATATCACGAATACGTACGTACTTGCATGTACAGTACATACTGAAGGTTGGAGGGTTATTTTTGTAACTGTGATTGGATTGAAGCTTAGACGAAGAAGTTGAATAAGTGAATATATATATATGTATATATATATATATGTATATATATATATATGTATATATATATATGTATGTATGTATATATATATATGTATGTATGTATATATATATGTATGTATGTATGTATGTATGTATATGCAGTGCAGTAAGATGCAAATGATAACAGATTAAATTATAATTATAAGTTACAGAGACTTGCTACATGCAAATAAGACAAATCATGCTGAATACCATTGTATACATATCCAATGCTTCACGTAAACTCCGTTCAAATTCAGACAGAAGCAGCCAGCGTGATGGCTAGGTCATATTTAGACAGAGGGGTCCAATTTATGCCCTTCTATTTGAGTATAATTTGCTTTCACTAACTAGGGCATGGCATGTATCACTAAGTCGTCCCATGACGACTAAATATGAGTTCAGACGTAATTGCTAAATTTTGTTTACAAAATGATGTGATAGTTGTATGTTTGATCGATGATTTATTCAGTTTTTTGATCAATTTTTATCTCATTAATTAATTTGTTTTTAATATATAAGATGCTAACATGTACGTACAAACCATAACAGAGGCGTCTACCCGAATTGGAAGGACTCGGAGAGTCACATGCTTGAAGAGTACTGAAAAATAGGAGAGGAATAGGGTTTGGGGCACAAACCAGACACAACCCCCTGGATTCCCTTGCCCTCGGTTCCTTGTGGTTTGGCTCTTTTATGTTAATTTATATCCATAATTCTAATTAGTACTCATACAATATGCTTCTTTAGCAGAAAAAGTTAGTACAAATCAATATATATCGTCTCGGAGAACGTACGGCCGGAACCCCCGTCTCATGGCACCACCCCAAAATGTTCTCATCCTTATTTTGTCGAATAGCAATTTGGTTAGACCAGCTCAAATCTTTTATTTATTCCTAGAAGGCTACCTATAGCTTTTCATGTCCAAAATATATTCATGCATATGTACGGATGATGTATATTGAGCTCATTATCCTCAACCAAATATGTACAATCATATCTGCAAATAAGTAATTATGATGTTAATTATGCCTGAACCAAGATAAATATTAAATACTTCCACGATGCATGATGCAATGCAGAATATATGAATTGACTATTACAATTCTTCGATAATTGACATTTACCCTATAATTATTGATCTCAACTCAAGTGATCTTTAGAATGTATGTGCATTATCACTGAAGAAAACCCATCAATAATAATTACAACTTGGATCCCTTTCTTTCTATGTTTTGGCTTCTTGCTTGACAATTTATCATGGGTGGTACTTTCTTGTTTGACAATAGCAAAGGGTCCGTCTTGTGGTTGCTAATAGACAAGAAGTCGTAGAAAGAGCAACTAATATACTTGTCCAACACCAGGATAGTAATATATGATATCCTTTTATACGTTATACATACATACATACATACATACATATATATATATATATAACCCTAAACCCTATACATATCCTTCATGCCCTTCAAGTGCTTAATATAACAAACCAATATGCTTGTGGAGAGGCCCTGTAGATGAAAGTGTTTGGCAGAAAGGAAAGTGAGAGAAAGCAAGAGAAATGCTTCTGCAGTGGTATATACTTACATGAAATTGAATCTATGTACTATCACCTTTTAACCAGTCCTATATAACAAATTCTTAATTTTATTTGATTTTCTTTTCCAATCACCCAATATGTCGGTCAATCGCCCATAATATCCTCGTAAATTATTAGCAAGTTGTGATCTGTACAGCACTGGATGGAAGAACAGGTGAGTTTGATCAAGAGCCATATACCAATTTGATATTTGAAGTGTCTGTCAAGTAATCAAGAGAGAGATGTGATGGATTACTACTACATACATATTGTGCTTAATTAAATTCTCGTAAACCTGATGGACCGAAATGCTCAATAATTCTGTTCTAACCTCTCAATCTTTCCATAATCATAACTAACCTCATCACTAAAATACAGAAGAGTTAAATTTACAATTGTGAAATGTTCCATAGATTAGGACACTTTACAGATTACAAAGGAAGACTTGGGCACTTTCAACCTCGCTTCATGGTAGTCCAATTTTGGGACAATTTTATCATAATCTGTGTCAAAGAAGATTAGCCAGGATGATGATCAAAGTAGTTGTTGGAAGTTTGTCAGTGTAACTATCAACATATATGGTAGGCAAAGACAAATTGATTAGCAGAGACGATTACCATCTGTCATCCCCTTTCCAAGATTATAAAACTGTTTTAAGGAGTTTTAATTTTGTTGAAACATTTAATTATTTAAGTCTATATCCATGGAAGTTTTATATTTATCCAAACTAATTTATCTGCTACGTACGTACTCAGATTAAAATTAAGAGATATATTTGATTATGTAATATGTTAGTTTGATCATGTAATATGTTAGCTTGCTAGGGTTTTGGATGACTACATTAATTAAGCTACTAGTCAGAGTAGCTTTCACAACTAACAGGATTAAAATCACAGCTTTTGTATCAATAAAAAATATCACACATTTTTATTCAATAAATTGGGGATGTGAATGAATGATTATGCTTTTGTTATTTACTCTGTTGTTTCTCTGGTAATCACATAAATATTTATTCAAGGAACAAGTCATCTAGTTATGTAACCAATTATCATATTATATATGTACCAAAGCTAAAAGATTTATTTAAGTTTGCGTGCATCTACAAATAACGTAAAAAAAATATAAATCGAGCGACTTGATAGATACATGATTAATTGTAGGATACGTGTTTGATCAAATTCTCTAACGCTCAACGATTTACTTTTGAAAATTGAAATTTTGAGACGACTTTGTCGACTTTGATAACATTAAAGTAGTAGTTGATAGGTTTATATCAAAGAAGACACTCTAGAACGATGAAGCCCTACCCCTAAGCCAGTCTCACAATGTTCATGTCTGACATGCTACTTGTCAAACACTTCACAATAAAATACCAGGCTGCTGTAAATCTCACTTGCATGTGTTTGCATTCTTCCTGCAGTGTACAAAATAATTAAGCAAACTTTTAAATTAATTATTCGGTATAAATAGATTTAAGTTGTTGGGGATGGAAAGGGTACAAGAAAGATCACGAAGACAGCATAAGGGTGAGATAATATTGTTCCCAAAAGGGATGCAAATTTTCAAAAGAGTAGTTGCATGTAAAGATTTCATGAAGCTATCTAGCCAATGTTTTATATGCAGATTAAGGGGGAATCCAGATTAATGGCTCATAAATGACTGAAAGGCTTTTGCGGTGAAACTATTTTTGTAACCAATCCTTAGTAAAAAATTCAAGTGAATCCTAAAACAGTACTTCAAGTGTTTTTAGAACTAAAAACATTCTCTCTAAAAGCACTACTTTCAATTATTTTAAAAGGATTTCCAAACGAGAGCTAAGTCTATAATTATGATCCTTGTTACAGTTAATAGATAGTTTTGTGAACAGTACTGTCCTTACTTAATCATGTGCTTGATTATACGTGCGTATGTACGTAAGTTAGATGTAATGGTTAATTTTATTGGCATTTCTTGTTCAAAATATGTCAACACAGGATGCTTATTGGTCAAGTTTGGTGAGAATTAGACCTTAATTAGAACTTAATTAGAAACTCGAGCCATGCATGCAGACAGACCCATCAATTTACTATATTAAGACTTTGTACCCACAGCAAGCTAACTATGGCGAGAAACATTAAAGGACACGTTTTGCCTGATTTCTGTTGAGAACTGAGATTGTGTTTTACTAAATTTAGATATCCTGTTACATATAAACATGCGTATAATTACGACAAGAACACATACGATGGGATGTAAAAATATTTACATACGACGGGCAGTAAATTGCTTCTGCCTGCATATACAGAGGTGTCGAGAGTTAGTTATATACACTTAGCAATATATGTAGAGATCTAATTAATATCTTGAAAAAGAAGTACAAGGAAAACTCAGATCAAAGTTTGTTCAAGGCACGAGTCGATCATTAGATATCGTCATTCTGTGATCTTGATATACTAGACTCTTATTAGCATGCGTCAATGCACTAAATTACACTAGGGTAAATGGAGACTAAATTTGCAAACTAAATTATGTGTCATCAATAAGAAATGAACACGTTTATTAATGCTTAAGTAATAATCAAATCATGAGTTTCCATGCCATTTTTTTACAATTTTGTCTACAAATCTGGTCTCCCTAGCATTACCCATTACACTAAATTCTGTTGAATCAGATCTTTGTAATATAGTGGATTTTTTTTCTAGAACAACTTCATATTTGAAGTTTGACTTTGGAGTACCAGATGGATTCGGCAATTTTAGAGCTAAGAATTTGGGGCTTGAATTTTTCTTTCTTAACTAAATACTCTAGTCTTTACAATGGGCTTGCAGCAAAGTGATTAAAGAACATTACTTCGACACCGGCGATATATTGTTTGATTCTTGCACATAACATCATGTGTTCGATTTCTCCACCACCAATATTATAAAAAAAAACAATAAAATTAATTGGATAATTACTTTAAGGATATTGAAGAGAAATGCATTCCACGTGTTTAGTGATTATTTAAGTGATTTTATGAAAAACCATTTCTCAATGCTTCTTTTCATTAGTGATTTTGTCCCTCCTCATTAATTATTTTTATATGAGCTATTCGACACACAAAAATAACGTACTTGTATGTAAGATTTACAGGTATTACAGAATGCGCCGACAAAATGTGAAAATTTTGTGTGCCAGAAGAGCGTCACCTCGAAAAAATAACTGGGTCATCGGCCATCAAGTCGTGGCCCGTGGACCTCGTGGCACATTTTTATTTACTTGTATCAAAATGGGCTTGGATATATTAACCCTGAAGAAATTGGGCTAATTGAGTCAACCCGCATACACCAGAGCCCAAACCTAAACCAGAGCCCAACCTTAGTGTCCCCTTTTCGTTTCTCTCCGACCTGTCTGGCTCTGTAAATTAATTCCAGTTGCTCAGTACTTTCCCTCCCGGCCTCCTACACTCTGTAGCAGAGCTCCTCCATCTTCCAAAAAGCTTCAAATTTTGTTCCCAGGTCTGTGTTTCTTCTCTTTGAACCTTCCTTCTGTGGTTTTCCATTGTTGTTGTGGTTGTACGGCCATCTGAGGCTTCTTCTGAACAATTCAAATGATTTAATTTTGTTTTCTATTGATTTTTTAATCTGTGGTAAACATTCATCTTCTTCGTTTTGTTGAAATTGGTACGTGTTACATACGCCCACCACCTGTTTGCTGTAATGCCGCTATGAAATTGTTTTCGAATTTATGCACCAATAAATTATTTGGAATTTAAGAGAAGCGGAAAAAGTCAGATATCCGAAACAACCCTCTTTCCTTACAATTTGGTTTGTCTAGTTAGAATCCAAGGAATACAGATTTCGTTAATGGTTCATACATTGCTTGCAGTTTGGCATTTTATGATTCCCATGTCAACTGGCCTGCCTCGGAAGCGCTTCTACCGAGAAAGAGCACACAGCAACCCTCTGAGTGACTCCCACTTTCCAGTACCTGTCTCCCCGCGTCACGTAGATTATTCTCTTCATTACCAGCAATACTTACCCTCATTTGATCAAGTTGATAGCTGTAAGAAGGTTCAGTTTGCAGATATCGGTTGTGGTTTTGGGGGGCTTCTGATAAGTCTGTCAACCCTTTTCCCCGAGACTTTGATGATCGGAATGGAGCTTAGGGATAAGGTGACAGAGTACGTGAAGGAAAGGATCTTGGCATTAAGGGTGACAAATCCGGGTCAATACCAAAATGTCTCAGTCGTTCGGACTAATTCCATGTAATACATTCCAAACTACTTTGAGAAGGGGCAGCTTTCAAACATGTTTTTCCTGTTCCCGGATCCTCACTTCAAAGAGAAAAATCATCGGCGTAGAGTGATCAGTCCTTTCTTGCTGGACGAGTATGCTTATGTTCTAGAAGGCGGTGGGATCATATACACAATTGCGGATGTTGAGGAACTCGGAGACTGGATGAAGACTTGCTTGGAGAATCACCCCATGTTTGAAGCTCTCACCGACGAAGAGCTCAAAGCAGATCCAGTTACGAAGCTCTTGAGTTCTGAAACGGAGGAAGGACAGAAGGTTGACAGAAATGGGGGACAGACTTTCCGAGCGGTTTACAGACGCATTGCGCCATCTCTATGACTCGGGGTGTTTTATCTTAGTCGACAGATGGATTGATTAACTGAAAAATACTAGTGGATTATTCTTTCTTTTGAAGGAGTTTTCTAACTACTCTTGAGAAGATCATCTGGTTTTTGAAATCTTTGATTTACAATTTTTTGTTGAACTTATATTTTACAAAGAAGCACGTCATTATTCATGCTATTTAAGAAAGCAATTTTGCAACATGCACTCCCGCAATGTGTCGGTCATAATAATTTCGTTAAAATCACTTATAGGTAAAGAGAAATATCACTAGACCGGAGTACTAAATGACATTCATAGTTAATACTTATCAGTTATCAAAGTTGGTAATTGGAAAGGAGGAGGGCTAGGTAATTGGAAAGGAGGAGGGCTGGTGTCATAGTGGGAACCAAGCACCATTGTGGCCTTCTCATCCGAATTCGAGGCTCTCCCACCCCACCGAAATCGGTCATTGGTAAAAAAAAATTAATTAGTTGTACTTTTGAAAAGAGCTCAGGTCGCACTTGGTGCGATGGCAAGTGCCTTCGCCCATGAGCGGTAGGTCTCGGGTTCGAGACTTGGGAGCAGCCTCTCCATAAATGGGGGTAAGGCTAGCCGACATTCACCTCTCCCAGACCCTGCTTAAAGCGGGAGCCTTGTGCACTGGGTACGACCTTTTTTTACTTTTGAAAAGAGCTCATTTCTCACTCTTTTGTAGACTGTTGTGATTAGGTTATTGAATCGACAATTATCATTGATGACTAGTTAATAAATATTGACTATTTCGTCTAGTGACATTCAATATTCACTTTGTGAGACACACTCATTCTCACCTCCAATGAATAATTTTGATTAAGTTTGAACAAAGACATTGCCGATACATAATTAACTGTCGATAACTGTTGTCAGTGAAACTCAGACTCCATTGTATTGAAACATACACTTATTCTCATTTTCAATCAATGTTTTTTATTAAATAATTGAATCAAGGAATTGTTGTGGAGTCAAGTAATAGCCTATAACCACTGTCGGTGAAATTCAGTCTTTATTTTGTTGAAGTCAGTTTTTGAGTTCAAATTTCATGAGATATATAAATGAGAAATAGAAAAAAGGCTGGTTAATAGACGAGGTCAAGTTGGGAATTTACTACTATCGGACTCGGGTCCGAATCAAAAGCAGAGAATCCAAAACCAACCGACCCAGAACTAGAGCTGATATCACAGACTCGTATGAACTGCAGCCTTTGCTGAGAAGCAAAATACGAAGCGGTCATCGATTGATTGAAGGAAAAAATGACCACAAACAGCCGAGAAGCCCGACGGAGGAAGATCATGGAGCGAGGGTCCGACCGGCTTGCCCTAATCACGGGTCGGATCCAAACCCTATCCCCCTCCTCCTCTTTATCTTCTTCACCACCGCCAGACCCAGCAACTCACAGTGAAGATACAGACCTGCCATCCCGGCCGTCGATTTCCCCGGATCAGATTCCCAGAACCCACGTCCCAGATCAAATCCCAGGTACCCTTTTTCTCTCTATCTCCAAAAGCCTTAATCTTTAGTTGCTTTGTTGTTGTAGTTGCTAATGGCGGTTGTGGGTCTGCAGTTTTCACTCCTGAGATTGAGGAAATGTGGTCAGCACCATCAACGGTTCAGAATGAATCACCGACGTCCCAGACCGAAACCCACGTCCCTGGTCAAATCCCAGGTACCCTCTTTCACTCTTATCTCCAAAAGTCTCCATCTTTAGTTGCTGTTGTTGTGTTTGATAATGGCGGTTGTGGGTCTGCAGTTTTCACTCCTGAGATTGAGGAAAGACGGTCATCATCGTCAACGGTTCAGGATGAATCACCACCATCAACTGTTCAGAATGAGTCACGACCATCATCATTGTCATTTGAGAAGCCTAGACTTTTCACTGCGAGTAGAATAAGTGGCGCCATTGAAGCATCAGAAAGGATCCGAATTTACATTTCCATGGCGATTGCGGTACTGGTGGTTTTTTCCCATCTGGGTTTTCCTTTACTGGGTAGTAAATTGGTGAAAACCCTTATGGGTTTTAGGCCTCTGTACCTGGTTTTGGTGACCAATGTGACACTTGTGCTTGCTCGAATTTTCGACAGCGGTCAACAAAGACACCACAGAGTGCCTGCCGGAATTGGTGAGGGTCAAACTATGAGTGGTAGCGAGTATGAGTGGGCTGAGCGGTTAGGCAAGGCTTTAGGGATAGGCTTGTTGGGGAAGAAGGTACTTGATGCTCTGTTTATGGATTGTGCTGTGTATGCAATAATTGTTGTTTGTGGCCTCTCTTTTGCTCAGTAGTTCAGCTAGGAGTAGGATTTGTACGTTTTTTTTTCTGTGGTATGGGAGTTTATATCAATGAAACTGATCAACTTTGCTTCCGAATTTCTGATATTTTTGTTGTCCTGTGTCATTTTGTATTGGTTGGAAATCTGCAGTTGGAGAAATATAGCAATGTTTTCTTTATGTTAGCACCTATATATTCATTTGGGATTAACAAAAATGATTGAAAGAAGAGCTAGTACCTTTCGTCTTCGCTAGTTTCCTACTTGTCTTGATAGTTCTAGCACCATTTTCCTCTGGCTAGCACCATTTTCCTCTGGCCGTTAGCCTCCTCATCTGCAAAACCAACTTTGGTCAAGTTATACAGTTCAGGTAAAACTGCTAATGGAATGCAATGGGTTGCAACTTGAGGGTAACCAGCTATGAGAAAAAACAATTTAGATTCCTGAAAGAATAAGTGAGGTTTACAGTTTTGTTTTCTGGGCGTTTCTCAGCCCGATTGTCTCCCGATTTTAACACAAAAGTTGACTGCAGTCCTCTGGTGTAGCGTCTAACTTATCATCTGGTATGTTCTGCTCCGAAAGAAGCAGCTCTAGCATGGAAAAGATGTCTCTCGCAAATGGTTTTGAATCATCACCGGCTACGAATTCCATAACCACATTGTCAACCTCGATCGAACTGCAACCTGGGGTTCTCTTCATGCTCTTACTTCTTATAAGTTTCCTCATCCTTGACACATCCTCCCACTTCCCTAGGTCTGCATATATATTGGACAGTAGCACATAGTTCCCTGCATCATCTGGTTCAAGCACCGAAAGGTGCTCCATAGCAGTAATGGCAATCTCGAGATTGCAATGAGTCCTGCAGGAACTTAACAACGAACCCCAAATCTTTGAGCCTGGATTCATCGGCATCTTGTTTATTCTGTCAAGAGCCTGATCAAGGTGTCCGGCACGTCCCAGAAGATCAACTAAACAACCATAATGCTCGATTTCCGGTTCTATATTATGATCTTCTCTCATAGAATCAAAGTACTTGACTCCCTCATTCCATAAACCAGCATGTGTGCAGGCTGATAAAAGACCTAGAAATGTAACGCCATTCGGTTCAACCTTCACTATTTGCATCTCTTGAAACAGTTCAACTGCTTCGGGAGCTTTCCCGTAATTCGCCAGCCCTGCAATCATGGTACTCCAAGAAATCACATCCCTCTCCAACATCTGATCAAACAAGTGCCAAGCCTCATCAATGCAGCCACACTTCATGTACATTTCAATCAGGGCATTGCAAACACAAACCGACTGCAATAGCTGCTTCTTTTCCGAGTACATGTGAATCCATTTCCCAACCTCAAGAGCTCCAAGCTGTGAGCAAGCCGGCAAAACAGAAACAATACTAATCTCATCAGGTTCATTATCCAGCATTTGCATTCGCCGGAACATATCCAGAGCTTCGGCGTAGCACCCGATTCTCGTATACCCTGAAACCATTGCTGTCCAAGACACAATAGTCTTGTTAGGAATTTCCTCAAACACTGCCCTTGCCCCTCTCATCTTCCCCAATCTAACATACCCAGAAAGGAGACTATTCCAAGAAATGACATCCGGTTCAGACATTCCGTCAAACACCTTGTGTGCATCTGCTAAATTATCACATTTCAAATACAAATCCATCAAAGCATTCTCAATCAGCAAATGCGACTTCGGCCCAAATTTACACACTTGGGCATGAACTTGCCTCCCCAGAACTTCACAGAAAATCGCCGCGCAAGATTTGATCACAAACGGGAACGTGAATTTGTCAGGAAGTTTTTGGTTTTCTGCTTCTCTCAGCATTTGCTTATACAAACTGATTGCTAAATCATATATTTGATTATGCGTATTAGCTCTGATCATGGCGTTGAACAGAAAGACGTTTGGCTCCATAACTTGTTCAAATAGCAAGCCAGCGTAGCGCAAATCCCCACTGTTGTCACACACGTCCACCATTTTTGTCACCAAGAAATTGCTCTGTGACAACGAGAGCTTCACAATCTGAGCGTGAATTTTCTTCAACCCTTTTGTGCTTTTGCAATTTAGTAACTTGGGTACGAAGGAATTCTCCAGTTCTCTGACAGATAAGGCGCTGATTCTCGTTGCCATTAGGGACTAACGGGGTTGCTCGGAAGGATGAATGAGCGGCAGAGGTTGGCGAATATCCTTCGGAACTGCTCGAAGAATTTGCTGCTTGATCAGGGACTGCAGGCTCATGGGATGGTGATGAGATTGGGATTTGGGCTTGACTTAATGTTGAACAACGATCTTATAGATATGTATGGCAAATGCGGGAGAATGGGGATTGCCCTTGAGGTGTTTGATAGAATGCCTGAGAGAAATGTTGTTTCGTGGACGGCTTTAATGTGTGGATACTTACAGAATGGTAATGCCAAAGGCTCACTGTCTCTATTTAGTCGAATGGGATTTTCGGGAATTAAGCCGAATGAGTTCACCTTTTCGATCAATCTTAAGGCGTCTGGGTTTGTGGGCATTGTTGAGAATGGAATGCAGATTCACAATATGTGCACCAAATCTGGTTTTGAATGGGTTACGGTGGTGAGCAATTCTATCCTCGACATGTATGCGAAATGTGGAAGATTTCGCGAAGCAGCACGAATGTTCGATGTTATGCCAGTTAGGAATCTTATCAGTTGGAACGCGATGATAGCCGGATTCACACTTGAAGGAAATGGGGAGAGTGCTTTGCTCTTATTTAGGAAAATGCAAGGGCTAGGAGAAGTCCCCGACGAATATACGATTACGAGTACGCTGAAAGCTTGCAGTGGTATTGGAGCAGTCCGGCAAGGAAGCCAAATACATTCCTCCTTAATCACAAGAGGATTCCTGTGCTCAGTTCGGACTACTATTGCTGGTGCTCTTGTCGATCTGTACGTAAAATGTGGGCACTTAACTGAAGCTCAGAGGGTATTCGATCAAATTGAACAGAAGAATTTAGTATCCTGGAGTTCCCTTATTCTTGGTTATGCCCAAGAATGCAATCTACTACAAGCCATGGATTTGTTTAGGCAGCTCAGGGTTAGTATCGATCATCGAGTAGATGGGTTTGTTCTCTCAAGCCTTATGGGCGTGTTTGCTGATTTTGCCCTGGTTGAACAAGGTAGGCAAATGCATGCTTTCACCATCAAAATCCCATCTGGTTTAGACATATCAGTAACTAATTCGATTCTGGATATGTATCTCAAGTGTGGGTTAACAGACGAGGCAGAAAGACTGTTTAATGAAACTCCGGCAAGGAATGTAATTTCTTGGACGATTATGATCACAGGCTACGGAAAGCATGGTCTTGGAAGGAAATCTGTACGTCTGTTCCAACAAATGCAATCGGATGACATAGAACCCGATGGGGTGACTTACTTGGCCGTGCTCTCAGCCTGCAGCCATTCTGGACTAATAGAAGAATGCGAAGATTACTTCTCAAGATTGTGTCTCGACAAACGGATCAAACCAATTGTAGAGCATTATGCTTGCATGGTCGATCTCCTTGGCAGAGCCGGACGCGTAAAAGAAGCCAAGAATCTCATCGACAACATGCCTTTGAAACCGAATGTTGGAATACAGCAAACTCTACTTAGTGCTTGTAGAGTACATGGGGACTTGGAAATAGGGAGAGAAGTGGGCGAGACGCTTCTGAAACTGGACAGCAATAACCCGGTCAACTATGTGATGCTGTCAAACATCTACGCTGAGGCCGGCTACTGGAAAGAGTGCGAGAGAATAAGAAAACTGTTTAAGATGAAAGGGTTAAAGAAAGAGGCAGGACGCAGTTGGGTGGAGATCAACAAGGAGGTCTACTTCTTCTACAATGGGGATGAGACACACCTGCTTACGGAAAAGATTCATCAAGTGTTGAAGGAGATGGAAAAGAGAATAAAATCCCAGCTGGGTTATGTTCATGGGGTGAGGTTTGCGCTGCATGACGTGGAAGAGGAGTCGAAGGAGGAGAGCTTGAGATTTCACAGTGAGAAGTTGGCAATCGGGTTGGCATTGGTGTGTGGTGAAATGGAGAAGGGAAACAAAACGATTCGGATTTTCAAGAACTTGAGAGTGTGCGGGGATTGCCATGCTTTTATCAAGGGCTTGTCGAAGGTTTTGAAGGTGGTGTTTCTGGTGAGAGATGCAAATAGGTTTCACAAGTTTGAGGACGGCGTGTGTTCTTGTGGGGATTATTGGTGATAACCAATTGACATGTAATTCATCTAACTTATTGGTCTACTTTTTTCTTTCAATGGCAGTGTTGTGTACTTGTGTGAGATAATAAATTGTGGGTGATAAAAAAAAAAAAAAAAAGCGATTATAGCAGTTTTATTTCTGACCTTCTGGCCGTCAAATATAATAGATCAAGGAAAATCACGGGACAAAATTAAGAGCGGAATGCAAGAGGTAAAAAGGAGTGAAAATATGAGGCAAAGCGCACCTAAAAAGTACGAAAACTCCATGCATTTTAGAATCACCAAGACTAATTCAAAACGGGTAAGGGAAAAGTTCAGTATTTCATAGATGAGGCCACTAAACTATTTGTACATATACAAGTGAAGCTCAACTTACTATTTGAGCTCTCTCTCTCTCCCTCCCTCCCTCCCTCCCTCCCTCCCTCTCTCGCCATCGTTAGATGAGCTAGCTTTGCTTTCTTCGAATCCTAACATAGGGAAACTAATTATATCTCGCGATGGGGTTCCTCAGGTTGGAATCTTGAAGAAGGGGTGATCAAGTGCCTGTCGAGCCGTGAGGCGTTCAGACGGATCGTATTTCAGCAACCCATACAACAAATCAGTCAGGTAGGAACTAGCTTTCGACGACCCTACAAGTCGCAATATCAGATCCTGTATACAAAATAAATGGCACCATATCAACTAACAAATCAAGAAATTCCACAAGTTATCAAATCATGTAAATATTTTTTGGAACCGAAAATAGAGAGGAAAAAGGTAAAAACCTTTAAACAGTCGAGCTTCTTTACAGCTCTAATGCTCTCCCTTGAAACTGCTCCTAAAGGCCAATTCAGTCGTGCACCCCGCCTAAAATACTTTTCAGCACCATGGCTACACATGGATAAAAACTGAATAAAATTATCTCATCCAATTTCTAGTTCAATAAAATAATCAAAACTCAAAAGTGCTCTAGATCCAATACAAAACTTGTTCAACCATGTTCTAGTAAAAAAAAATAGCCAGAATCAGTATATTTCAATACATACTTGGCCTTTTGGGTCATATGTTGCGGCAGAGGTCCCAATATCCTCTCCATCATTGCCAAATGCTCCAAGTTCTCGTGCGTCTGAAATAATGCCTCTCCCTGACAAAATTCCCCATCTTAGAAATTCCTGACCAGAAGAATCCATATTCGAAACAGGATAAAGTAATGTAGGACTAACCGAACAAAGTTCAATAAGAATGCACCCTATACTCCACAGATCACAGGGGTAAGTCCACCCTAGACCTGCAAGATAGACATACAGCAATGATCAGAACAATATAGATACTATTACTGGTCAGTACCTGAGATGTACGCAAGATAAAGCTTGATCATTGTAACAGAATAATTATTACCAAAAACAACTTAATGATTTTTTCTCTACTTCCATAATAACTTAAAATGACAAGAGAGAATAAAGTAAAAACAAAATTAGGTTAACAAATAGCTGGTAAAAACAGCTATAATCTTTACAAACCAACACACAAAAAACGATTACACTCTGCAGAACCAGGACAAGTAAAGGATGACCATGCTGGAAATGTCACCAAACTCAATTCAAAACAGACCCAAGAAAGAGCTTAGGGGAAGGATAAAAAACATGAATATCCTATGCTACGGATGCATCTTAATAAAGAGAAGAAACCACACCACTACGGTAAAAGCTAATAAAGATTGTTATAAGTCTCCATCAATGCCATACTGTAACATGCCCTTATTATGTGTTCTTATTGACCATGTTGGGGGATCCAGCATAAAAAAACGTGACTAATGCACCACAATGACCTTCTATGACTCTGTTAAACACTCCCTTTGAAAAAACTTGTTTATAGATGTACCAGCCTCAAGTACTTTTCTAAATCACCAGTAAGATAGTCCTTTTCATCAACACCATATTGCTTAGTATGGTTTCAGTGAAGATGGGAACAGAAGGTGAATAAAAAAGGAAATGATATCACATTTTGGCTGGCCAGCACCGTAATTAGTTACCTAGAATAATCTCAGGGGCTCTGTAATGCCTGGTAGAAACAATGGAGCTATGGTTCTGATCATCAGACACTGTACTACCAAAATCAATCAGCTTAATGGCACTAGACTTGGGCAAGCACCTGTAATTCGTTTCATCTGAAGAAAACCTCTGTACCATTTTCAAGCACTTTTATTAACTGAGTCTGTACCCAAATATGAAACAAGGCATGAACTTTAAATTGTAAAAGTCCAAGATACCTTAGAACCAGGAAGCTTTACATATTCAGAGGACACAAGAAGAATATTTTCTGGCTTCAGGTCAGTGTGAATTAAGCGTAAGTCATGCATATCTGTTGGAAATATTGAAGAAAAATTGTAAGTTAAAAACAAAAGGACTGAATTAAAACACCCTGTTACAGCCATGGACAAAGACAAGAGGCCAATAAACAGATTTGTGTGACTGGTTACAATAAAAATAAAAAAGAGAATGAGACTAAGAACTATCCACACACATGCTACAGATTCCAAAAGCTGTCGTCCAAATTCCCGAACAAGATCCACAGGGAATGGGCAGTATTTATTTCTCTTTATAAAATCAAATAAGCTTGGTCCAAGCTTCTCAAACACCTGAGAAACCATTAAATTCATCCAAATGAAGGTTTCTGTTTAGTTCCCAGTTCTATAAATAAAGTCCATGGACATACTAATATCAAACTGTAAGTCAATCTGAAAGCTCGATTGGTATTACATGCATGTGAGAATCGATCATCTAAACTACTTGTAGGAAAATAACCAGCATGGTTGAAAAAATATTACACAGATTCACAACAGCAAGCAGAAAACAGTAAAAGAGTACAACATAATGGAGCAAAAGAGTAACATGAAGGAATTTAATTGGGATACTTACAATGCAAATGTGATTGCGGTAATCAAACCAAGTGCGAATCTGCACACAGCTGCATCAATGTATTAACATGCTCGAAGTTAGACGACATCACAATGATTGAACCAGCAATTCTATTAGCTAAACCCAGAAGACATGTACCGTGAGTTGCCCTTATCATGCTTAGCAAGCTGTTCAAGCACATCAACCTCAATCATTGCTGCTTCCCGATATTTTCGTATGCTTCGAACTACCTTGATTGCCACATACTCTCGTGTTTGACGGTCCCAACATTCCAAAACTCGGCCAAATGTGCCTACAGCACTAGCAATATGCTGAATGACACAAGCAGAATGACAAAAAAAATAAAATCTTGTAGACAGCAGGACACTTGACATCTAACCTTCACCCATCTTGTTAAGTATTTTATCTGCCAAATCAACGTAAACAACCCCGAAACAACATCATTACCCGATAAAAGCATGTAATTAACAAAAAACAAGAACAATGCGCTAAATTTTCAGGAAAAACTCACATCTTGAAGTGAGATTCTCGCCGAGATTGTAAATATAATGCCCTTCCCGATCATCGTCTCGTTTAGGAGGCGATCCACGCCTTCCATTCCCTTCATTACATGCCATCACAGCCCGTTGCGCCTACAAAAACAAGATGCATCCATCAACCATTTTCATCCCTGTCCGATTACCATTAATCACTGCAAACCCTAAATCCACATGCCGCACAAAAAAGCCCCAATCTTGTCGTTTCTTCTCATTTGGAAACCCTAACCCTAACAAATGAATAGCCCAAAACCAACCTCCGGTTCCGATTGCGATGGGCCGACGTCCCACGCCGACCTCGGCCGCTTCCTGATTCGATTCTGCGAGTTCTCCATCCTAGTCTCTACTCCCACCGTCGACACCATCTGAATCAAGTTCGATCCCCGGCCGTCAGCAACCAAAATTCTCACAACAAAAATTTGGGAAATTTTCTATGGTTTCTGAGACGAAGCTCGGAGGAATCGGTTACTGGAGAAAGAAACGGAGAGAGATTAGCAGCTAACAGGCACCGTACCGACGGAGGAGGTTAGGGTTTGTTAAATGTTAGTTACATAAGGATGTTACAGTCTGCGCCTTTTTGCTTTGTATGCGACGGTGGAGATTGGCGGTTTAAAGATAAGATTAGTCGCGCCGCCATTTTTCTTGCCTTTAACATTTCCCATTTACTGATCTAAAGCCCAATTAGGCCCATCTTAAACCTCACACCATGTTCGGACCCATCTCACATCGTTATTTCAAGATTCGTAATATTTTTAATGCTCTTTATTTTTTTCGAACCATTAAATTAGAGATTATCATTTTAAAAATTTCATTCTACAAACTTCTCAAGTATATTTTTTTTTAATTATAGAAAGATTAGAATGTCAAATGAGACTTTTGAGTGCTAATAACAATTCTCTTACATCAAATCTCAATCTTTGAATTTTATGTTTTAATGCGCAGGAGCCTTTCAAGTTTCTACCATCATCCTTAGCTATTTGATTTATCATTGTAATCCTTTTCAATCTGTGTTCATTTTATCTACTGAAACTAAAAAATAGACAATAATGAAACCAAAAAATGTAACAGACGCATGTTACAAATGTAATTTCATTTTCGTTCCTTGTAATTTCATTTTCGTTCCTTGATCCTTAAAAGATTCTTTTGTCCAAATATATCTTCCTTTGCCACATCGCCATATGAAGTTGTCAATTCAGTTTCACTTTATTATAAAAAATGCATTTACATTTTAATAAACTAAATATAAACGGATAGAATATAAACTATCAGATCAATATTGTGTGTCTTGTTGTTTATGCTTACAATTTGGAGAGATTTTTCAAAGTTTCCGGCATTTGTCCAGGTAATGTTCCCCACAAGTACCGGGAACCAAAAAAATTCTCCACAATTTTGCATTATATATCTCCTTTACAACCGATCAAATGATTATTATGTTCGAATTGGGATCATAGGATATTTCTGTTTTTTCCTTTTGAAAAAGAAAGGGTATTTTGTATTTGTACGCAAATTGTAAGTGACAACATAATTAGCTCATAGTGTCACATAAAGAATAAAAGAGGACAAAGGGGACCAACGTGTCAAATCCACCATTGCCCATAGTTTCGAGACCCTCGACTTCCCATTGGTCAGCAAATCAAATCCGGCAGCGTGCAATCCACGCGGGCGGCACGAGTCCCCTGTATAAACTAAACAGCTTCCTCACAAATCTCCAAACTCACACTTCCTCGAACAAGCACGCGGACTCCGCCACCAACCAGTGAGCAAAAGAATGCAGAGCCTGCAAGCCAAGGCCGCCGAGTGGAGCGGCGTCGACTCGGCCGACGCGTTCGCCATCGACGAGACAAACCTGTTTCAGAAACTCGGCCTCCAGGCCTTCATCAACCTCTCCACCAATTTCTACACCAGGTTCGTTCTCTGGTTCGTCTTTCTTCAGTCTTCATCGATCTCATCGTATCATATGCTGAATTGGATTGGATTGGTAGTGAATTTACGATTATGCCCTTGATCGGCAGGGTGTACGATGACGAACAGGAGTGGTTCCGGTCGATTTTCGCCAATTCGAAGAAGGAAGACGCCATTCAGAACCAGTACGAGTTTTTCGTGCAGAGAATGGGAGGCCCAAATCTCTTCTCACAGAGAAGAGGTATGTGTGTGGGAATTTTTTTTTGGTATTTCCATTTTATAGTCCAAATTTGCATTTGGTTTGTGCTATGGAGGCCCGAATTTAAGTCCGTAACATTATTATTGTGTGTGACGGTAACTTTACGTGACATTCTTATGTGTCGTATGATAAATTTAGTATTCATAATTCACAATTTTAGAAATACTGTTATTTGTCATATCATGTTATGTATCGTTGAACGAGTTTGATTTAGTTTACTTAACACACGAATTTCCAGAAACAAAACTCATCCAATGCTACATAGCATTTGATGCCCACAACTACATAAATTGATTTAGTTCGAAAAGGGAAAATTAATGAAAAAAACTTGAAATTTTTTAGTTTTAACGAAAATGATAAAATAAAGGGTAAAATGAATAGTATCAGGATTGACTTTTTATTTTAAAAATGTAGTTTTTTGTTAAGATGAACAGTACCATAAGTTTTTCGTTAAAGTTCCCTTTCGAAAATTATAATTTGGATGGACTTGCAACACCACACGACATGGTATGTTATGCTGCCACTACACACTGAATAATTTCTCTGCTTACCGTTATATTGTCCGATCCAGTATGTTACGAGATTTTACTGTTACATTGAATATATCTCTGGTTAAAATTTAGCAAATGCATTGCATTGCAGCCCGTGACATTTTGATTACAAATCTGAGTCCTTATGTTGTAATTGGAAATTGGCAGGCCATCCTGCTCTGATTGCACGCCACCGTCCATTTCCCGTCACGCACGAAGCTGCGGAGAGGTGGCTGCATCATATGCAGCAAGCACTGGACACCACTCCAGACATTGATGCAGAGTCCAAGGTCAAAATGATGAACTTTTTCAGGCACACTGCGTTCTTCCTTGTGGCCGGAGACGAGTTGAAGAAGAGACAGAATCCGGCACAATAACCTCTTAGTAAGCATCGCCAGCAGCAACCGCCGCGCGTGCCAAAGATTTTAGACAGAAAATTAATCTCCATATTCAGAGCTCAATTGTGTTGTGTTGTGAAGACGTAGGAGAAACAAGATTGTATTACTTGTCAAACCCTCTTCATTTTTGTGCTTAAATGAGCACAACTTGATACATTATTAGCCACTTATGAATATTTATGAAGAAATAATACATTTCGTACCCTAAAGTTGAAACACTCAAAGGTTTCTCCTTTTGCACTTGCGTTTTTGCTTCCGTTGGGGACGAGCATACAACATTGAGGATGTCACTGCGGCAACTTCTCAAGTCAATAAGATTTTCTACCATGTGGAGAAGTTACATAATTATGTTTGGTTGGTTTGGAATACCGTTACAGTGACATCCTTGTTGCACGAAAGTTGTTCTTCTTGCATTGAGATGACAAGCTAAGTTCCAAACACCAAAAACCTAGTTGACAGAGCAATTTTCCATGAATTATTGTCCAGATGCATCCATTTTACATGGATTTTCTTTCCATATATATATATATATATAGAGAGAGAGAGAGAGAGAGAGAGAGAGAGAGAGAGATAAGTCTGAATATATAAGCCGTTTGTTGCAGCTAGCAGGACGAGATTAAGAAAGCCAGGATCGATATGTAGTTTCTGCAACTTATAGAGTCCGTAAAAGGAGGCATGGGTCGTGCGAAGGTGCAGCACATTCCTGATTTCCATGCCTTCTGCAATGTATACTAGACAAGCTTTCGTGATGCCTCCTTTTACGGACTCTTTAAGTTGCAGTGGGACAAGCCTCAAATTCAGTTTTCGATGTTGAAAAAAGAAATCGAGACTCTGGCAATGTCTTCAATTCCACATCTCCGCATCTCGTCACTTGCATTTTTACATTTGTAATGCCTATCCTTGTAAGTTGGATCATATTCCAGACGACTATAATGATCTGTCCTTTTGAGTCAACGCGTGATGGAACTTGTAGTTTCTTCAACTTACTAAAATTTGATCCCATGTATTATCTAAACACATACCAATCGCACTCTATGGATTCCGGAAGCTGCTCAATCAGAGTATCCTTCAGATTCAAATATCTCAAATCGGATAGGTGCACTAGTTCATTCGGGACTCTAGCAACTGGGACGTCCTCCAAATCAAGAATTGTCAGCAACTTGAACCTAGAAGGCAATTTCTTAAACTCATACAACATGTTTGTGGCAAAGATCGGCAAGAAGCAACCGAAGCTTTGACATACTAGTAAAAGAATTAAATTCTGCAGTTATTTGAATTGACAATCTACGCATTCCAACTTCTTTGCTACTTCTCTGCCAACAAATGCAGCACCAAATTTTTCCTTTCTTGACATCGACAGAGCAACCTCGGGTGTAAGATCATGCATCTTACATGTTTTTGCTCTTCCATCTTCATTCGTTTGCATAATTTGCAGCATGCTACGCGCAGTAAATTCCGTAAGATAGTCCTCTGCAACTTCTTCTGGTGTGACCCCGTCATTAGGTTCAACAAATTCTTCAGCTATCCACAACCTAATCACCCATTTAACATTGCAGTTTGTGGTTAGGATGTGGACAACTTTGGCTTTGTTCTTTCGGAAGGCTGTGCAAACAAAGTGGAAAATTAAGTTCGATATTCTTAACACATCCAAGTAATCACAGAAAACTGTACGAAATATAGATATAAAAGGTTGAAACTCAAAACACTCGAGGTTCTCTCTTTTAGTCTTGTGTTTTTCCCTTCCATGTGAGCGAAACTTATATACATAGCTACACCAGAATGTCACTGTGACGGTATCTTAAATCAATCATGCACTACCACGTAAAGAAGTTAAAACACATAACAATGTTTGATTGATTTAGAATACTGTAATCGTGACGTACTCAATGTATGAAAGTTTTTCTCCTTGTAAGGTCCAAAGACTAAATTTTGGCCAAATTCAATCATTTTACATGTAATAATGAACATGATTAGCAAAACGAGCTTAGAAAAACCGGAACAAGTTATCCGGCTCCATCCATCCCATTCCTCCGTCAAAATTCTTCGAATATATTTTTGGATCATAAGACGCTTGCGACGTGACTAAAACCAAAAATTTTCTTAATCTCTATCTTAAAGTTTGATTCTTCATTCTCAACTATCACTTGTGTCAAAAACAATGTTCGTAATTGGTAATCGAGCGATTACCAAATATGCTCGCTTAAAATGTAGTCTAACAAAACAAAAACATAAATACAAGAACATTTTACGTTGAGATTAAATTAATCAGAGCCAAAGAATAATGTTTCTTCGTTTTTGTGTCGAAAATGTCACATGACATATCGTATTAATTATGCCAAAGCATCCCAGATCCTCAGTCAATCACTTTAGCAGGTTTGTTTTGTCGTATATTCTCAATAATTTGACGACATTTTTCTCTCTCTAATTTTGGCACGCACGTTGGCTGACAATGTCACTCGGTCATCCACAGAGATTGCTTTTGATAGATTCTGTATTTCACCAAGAAATTTCGTAGGCAGATTGCCTGCCCTCTTGTTTGGATGTTCATTTTATTTTTTTCTATTTATGAGGTCACGATTAAGTTACGTCAACATTTTATATTCTTATTGTTTTTTATCTTATTATCTTTATAAAAAAAATTAATATAAAATATTAACGTAACTTAACCGTGACCGCACAAAATAAAAGAGAATAGAAATGACACATACAATCTGCCTCCAGAAATTTCTGCGTAGGGCCGCCCCAGTGCACATTCTCCCATAAAAATGAGATTATCCCATGTCATGATTTATTATACCATGATTATTTATTAAACGGGTTATGGAATTAGGTTTTAGTCTATGTAACGTCACCGTCCAGTAATCAATTGCCACGTGTTGAAAAAAAATGCAATGTCCGTCTATTAAGAAGTCGTTATGATGACACGAGAGAATCTAAACTGCATGTAAAAATCATTCGCGATTTCGGCTCACCATTTGTGTAAATGCTACCGTACACAAAATCAACTCATTTTTACCCAAAAAAAAAAAAAAAACTATTATCGACACTCCAAACATATCAACACTGTTGTTAAAAAATACCCGCCAAAGAGCAAAATATAACTATTTTGTAATGCTAATATTAAATCCATCAGGAAAAAGAACAAGCCCAACAAGTCGCATGAAATTTCCCTCGAGTCACAACTTCATTGCCTCCTGTGCATGATTTGCATGTTTCAGCAAAATTTCCAGAGGACAAAGATATCACTAACCGAAACAAGTTTTCCGCATACAAAACAGTACAAAAGCCTCCTACTTCCTAGCAAAACAAATCATACGCATATTAGGACATCACCATTTCATACTTGTGCCTCTGTGGTGGACCTCAGTTTTCCATAAGCCTCGGAACAGGCATTAGCGTAGTCTGTCATGGAGCGGAAGATCTCAGGCAGGCGAGTTTTGAGACTCCCAAGTGACTTCTCCCTCACCTGGATACAGTGTCTCTGGTGAGCTTCGTATTCCTCTTCCATTCTCTTCTTCAAGCTCTCAACAATGAATTTCTTCTCTGAGACCGGATCCTTGGGAATTGCATCTTCACCTCTCTCCTGATCCATTTCCGCGTGTCTTTGCGCGTACTTTTGGTACCAGTCTTCGAAGGCCTGACTTTTACGCAGAAACTCCTTCCGTGTCTCCTCAAACTTCTCTTTTAGCTTCATCTCTTCCTCCTGATTAAGTATGATGGTCTTTATCACAGCCGCAAAGGACGATATTGCAGATTTTGCGAGTTCATCAGGAAGCTTTTCAAGAGAATCGTGCCATGAATGGAGGAGAGCTTGGATTGGTGGACGCTGAACTCTTGGCGGGGATGAGATTTTCTCTTTTAAGCTGCTCTCGATAGGTATGAGATTTAGCTTCAACCAACTATTAAGAGCTTGGATGTATTGTTTTTGATGAGTCACAAGCTTTTCAAAGTGAGAATGCCATTCTTGGAGAACATTCCAAAGCTGGACAGTGCGGTCATGGTGGTGCTTGGTTGTTTCCATCGGAGTATGGGGAATGTCTAGGGACTTTAGGTCTGTAACAATCTTCAACTGGCTGCCGTGATGTGTGCACATGTTCTCCCACATTTTTGCCATCCTGTGATGCAGATGTGATGAATATATTTGCAGAGGAAACCTTTTCTCAATAGCACAATAAACAAATGGGGACATCAACTACGAAGGAAGCAATAACTTCCACAAAATTCAGCACATAACCTTACAGAAGCGGAAACCATCAGTTCAAATTTTCCACCGATAAAAATGGTGCTTTTTAGACACATGCCAAATGATTTTAAGACAGAATAAGGATAGTCTGAGCAATCAAGAAGACACTAGGGGCAACAAGAACGAAACAAAGAAATAGCAAGAATTCTCAATGCACAAACTTACCCATCAGCTAGAGAAACAAGTTTAGGGTACAGCTGCTCATCCCGTAATTGATTTACTTCTGAAGCTGTAGAATCCATGGACTGCATGTCAACTATGTATCTTGTATGCAAATGACTTACAGCTGCTTTTGTTTTTTCCAATGTTTCAGCACTAGCACTGCGTTTCTTCTGCTTATTCAGCACCGCAACTTTTCTCTGATACTCGACCTTCATAAGCTCCCCTTGCTATCAACACAAAGTAGGATCAAAAAAAAAGAAAAGGTTCAGTGTAAGAAAAAAAATAAGTAGGAAGATACATTTTTGTGCTGGAATATTATTCTCCCGATTAACCAAGTAGAGGATGTGTACTTTTTGTGATATCAACAATCCAAATACAAAAAGGACCGCCACCACGAACAGTGTTCATGATGTGGAATGACACTAGTGAATCAAGATGAAAAGCAGCAAACAAATAAAATGAAACAAACTAATGCAATATACCTTCACTTCATCATAAAGTTTCTTTTCCCATGCCAACATCTTATCCAAAACAGTGGCATGAGTTTCATAATCTTCTGAGTTTTCATCCTTCCCATCACCGTTTGGCATGCCTCTGAAAGACTTATTCCACGTAATAACACGCATGACCCTTGCAGAGTGATCAATGTGTCCTGCACAACATCACGAGAATCAGTACCGCATCCAACAAACGATTCAAAAGATATCTCACAAAAACAAATGACAACAATATTTAAAATTCAAAAGATGTTTTCGGTAGAACGGCCATTCACATAGTGGTTTCCGAAACTAGTTTAACGATTTCCAAGTCCTGGAACAGGAAGATTCAAAGCATCAACCTTTAAACAGAAAAGGGTAAATACCGACAACTAAAGAGGAATTAGTTTTAGATGTCACAAGAGGCAACATATGGGCAAAGTGCTTATACAAAGTGCTTATACAAGGTGCTTTTTCTCACTTTAATTTTTTTGAAAGTGTAAATATCTAAGGTTGAGATCAGATCAACAAAAAGTAATTTGAAAACCAAAGATTTATCATTTTGATATTTAAAGGCTTAAAGCCCGAGTGAAGTCAAGATGTTTGCCCACATGTTTTTTATAGGACAATTTGTAGACATTTTTGAAAGCTTTTGAGAAGAAAATAAGGTCTCTTTCAAACTTCAATACCAACTTAACCATTACATTACACCTAAAGGGAATTCATATAAAGAACTTGGCTTAAAGGGAATTCATAGAACTCGTATACCTCGATTATCTGCGAAATTCGAGTGATAGTGCAACCGAGTGGCCTCGAGCATCTTCGAAACCTCCTGAGCACTCTCCGAGGCCTTCAAGAAATGATCGTCAATCTTATTCAATATGTCCATCAAAGTCACACCAGGAATCACATTAGCTACTCTCCTGCTAAACTCCGGTGGCGCAGTTTTCGAATGCTCGATTGCCACCGGAGTTTCCTCTTCCGCCTTCTCCTCAATCTCCTCCACCTTCTCCGGAGTCTTGGGCTCAACCTCATCAGCCAAATCAACGCCGCCGCCGCCGCCAACCCCCATATTCTCATCTTCACCAAATTCCTCAGCCTCTTCATTCTCACTCAAAGATGGTCCCGGCATGTTATCCACCATAAAGAAATAGTCCCAAGCCATGCCCTTCGACTCCGGCATCGGAGGCACCGCCTTCATCTCCGGCGTCCTCGGCGGCGACGATGTCGTCTCCGAAGCCCCATTTCTCGATCTCCTCTGAAAACCTTTATGGCTCTCATCCTCATCATCATGTTCATGGTCCTCTTCTTCCTCATCCTCCTCCGCAATGGCCAGCCCAACTCTCCGACCCCCCATTTTCCGAGCCTCAGAGCTCATCACTGGCATGCTGGTGGCCCGCTTGATCGGGCTTGGAGTGAAAGTGGGCAGAGGCGGCGGAGGCGGCGGAAGGTTCAGGTTCTCGAGATGGGGCGGCGGAGGCGGCGGCGGCTCAGATGCGGGGTCCATCGGCTGATGTTGGCTGTGAAGGATTTCCATCTCCGGGGTCACTTGGGTTTCTCCATGGCCGTAATCACTCAACGCGGCACCGGCGTTCTTCAAGGCCACGGCGTAGCCAGAATGGCCGGAAGCGAAGGCGTTCCTGGCCACCACCGCCTCTTTCATCAGGTTCCGGCGGTCCTTGCATCGCAACACGGATTCCTCGTTTTCGATTCTCGATTGGGCGCACCCCATTTTTCGTGGGTGTCTTGAAAAAACGACTAAAAACTCCTTAAAGTTGTGTACTTTTTGACATTTAAGAGCAATGGGTTGAAAAAAAATACAAAAAGAAGATGTGAGCTTTGGGTTTGGAGCTTCTGGGTGCGGCTAAAACGGCGCCGCTTCCATGGAAATGGCAGAGCGAAGCTTGTCGGAGCTGGGTTTTGGGAGCTCTGGTAAGTCAGAGAGATTTGAGAGCAAAGACGGGGGCTTTTTTGGTTTTCACTTTTGAGAGAGGAGAGGGTTTCAATGGAGGAGGAGGACAATGAAGTGAAATGAAAAGAGAGTGAGTGCTGCCAAAACAGGTGCAGAAGTGAGCAGACAGAGCAGAGAGAGAGGGGAGAGAAAGCAGAGAAAGAGGAGAGAGAGAGAGAGGGAGTGACTTTTTTTGTGTACTCGCACGGAACGGAGGAATTAACGTCTACTCGCGCGCTTTGATTACTCGGTGTCCCTAATTATGATTTTTTAAAGTAACGGTTACATTTTTTGAGGCAGCTGAAACGGCGTCGTACTTGTTGATTAGTGAATTAAGTGGTGAATCAGTCAAAAATTGAGTAGGTAACCAGATAATTACCAACCTAATTACTTGCTTCATTTGAAAAAGCAAAATAAAAAAAATTACTTGGTGTGAAATGGAATAAACGTTCGGTTGGGGTGAATTCGGTAAAAGGAGATATTATTGTGGCCACCACGAGAAGAGCTCTTAATGGCAATTTGAAATTTTGATCACCTCCAACAAAAACTTTTCTTTTTGTACCGTTGTCAGGTGTTACTAATTACCCCGTTAATAGAATCTATAATTTTAAAATGTGTTTTACGAAACATTCTTGCTTACCGTCTTAAGTGATAGTAATACTCATCATTCTACAATTATTATTAAATGAGTTTAAATTTTAAGAACCGAAAAAGTAAATCAACTTTTTTCAATGGTTCAACACTTTTCTTGCTTTTGCTGGGAGAAATGTCAAATCCATTAGAAAAGTATCATACATCCCCACACCATCCATGGAATAAGATACAAATTTGAATATCTAGCCATTGATTAGAAATTAAAAGCGAAGGGCAAGGCCTTTTTTTTTTTTTTTTTTTTTTTTTGGAAAACAGGGCTAGGCCTTTTTATCCTTAATTAATTGGATAAAATACCGAAATTCAACAACAAACCCCATGCCAAAGTGGCAATGCATCAAACCTATCCCTCGACCTCAGTCATCATTTGTTCCAACTTTCTCACATGACAAAACGTGATTAATTTAGAACAGACACTTGCCATCCCCTTACTTCTCCCATAGAAAGAGTGAATTCTACCAGTTACCCCACCAAGAGAAACTTCTCATTGGTAAATCGAGTTTAAGAAAGAGTAGACAAGAACTTAGGGCTGTTAATTTTTCGACTGGGATAAAGCACTTGTTCAACCTAAACATTAACCGTACAAACAACGGCATTCACTATCTGAAGATGATACAAAGGAATTTACACTTTTCTTCGGTGATGATGCTCATATGAAGCAGACCGTCCAGTTATTTCCTACCGCCAAAAACTTCACATGAGATTCACAACAGCCGGAAACCGGTCCTGAACAAAAGACTTGCACCTGCGCAACCATGATACTGCCCGATCCTTGAATTACAGCCCAACCATATCAGTTCTTTCATCACCTTTCTAATAAAAATGGGGGAGGAAAAAAGGATTGCGTAAATAGACTGAACTCAAAGAGAGAGAGAGAGATGATACAGACTAAACAGAATATGCATACACATGATTTTAGAGTTTCTCCTACTCAAGGAAACGACGACGAATGATGCAAGTATTTAACTGTAACTTAATGTGTTGGATCTACACTGTACACGGGAATGCATCATATGCATGCCCAAAGCCTTTAAAACCTTTGAATTGAACTTTCATGAGTCACTTCCGCACAAGTAGATAAAAAATAAAAAAAACTCATTAACGAATGTCTATTATAAAAGTGGCAGATCCTGTTAATGTGACAATTTCATAAAGCTCCAAAAGAGGAGAAAAGCTTCTTTTGAATCACATTGCATAGAGCCCACAAGAAAATGATAGCAAAAATAAATTCATTGAGCAATGCAATTAGGCAACTCAAAATGAAAGTAGAGATCTTTCTTTGTTGTAAAACTTACCAATGGGAGCAAGTTCACCCAGCCACATTGCTTATTTCTTCTTATGTGCAGGTTTGAGTTTAAGTTCCGCTTTGAGTTTTCTCAACTCCTTTCCTTGTTGCTAAAACAAAATTTTAAAGGAGAAAAAAGTCATTTGAGATAGTTTGGCTAAGGAAACAACACCCACAAACATTAAATAGCATATTATTCAAACACAATTCAATATATTTTATATGACAATGAATATTTCCAAGACCTTATATAAGTTCCTCCACAAAAGATCTGATCTTTCTTGTTGTAAACACCACTCCATGGCCATATCGTATTCAATAGTGTTGGGCTGGGAACAATGTGAAGTAGATATGGCTTCTTTCTGGATCCAAAAAGGTAAAAACATAAACATGTAGATGAGAAGGCTATGAAAACAGAAACAAACAATACCAGCTTTATACGCTTGTGTTTCTTGTATATATGTTGATGCTTGTAGAGAGAGAGAGAGATGCAACTGTACCATTTCCCGTGCATTTTGGTGCCGTAGTTTCTCAATAGTAAGATGACCAAAAAAGGGTGCCTTCTTTTCTGAGGAACAAGGAGTTCCAAAGCTGCCAACAAGAGGCCTATAAATCGTATAAAAACTATCATCATGTGAACCACCTATTTGCAGAAATTAGCTGTATATAAAGTAAAAGTTGATAATCACATTGAAATTGACAGAAGCTCGTATCCTTCGTCAATCAAAAACAGTTAATTAACAGAACCTAGAGAAAAAAAATACCACCTGGTGAAAACTTCTTACATGTCAACTGCTTTGAATTGATAAGACAGAAAAATAGGATACAACAGAAAAGATTACCAGTACGTCATAAGAAAGGACTTCAAAATAAAAAACTTGGTATGTGGAGTGTTCTAAATTATTTAATGGGGAGTGGAACAGAGAAATAAAACAAGATATAGAGAGTAAATAGCAAAAAGATGCATCATGCTGTAGAGGCTAACACGACCTATGCTAGAATATTAGCCAACTACAAACCTTCCATTTGACAACAATAAACATCTCTTATCCAATTCTCTAACAACCTTTTGTGCTGCTTCCCTAGTTTTGAGAATAACAAGAGCTTGTCCTACAATATGAACAAACAAATAATTTAGAATTAGACTATAAGCGTAATTTCATCCATGTTGTGTTTACAAATAAATATTATCATCTAAACACAAGATCAAGTCAATTTTTCTGAGAAAATAGATAGGAGAATAAATATAAGATTTAAATAAATTATCCATACCATAGTGAGGACTAGAATTGGCGGTCCGCTGAATCATCTTAGCCGTGCAGCTCTCCTTAAAACCATGCCATAGTATGTCCTGAAATGTAATACATAAGATCAAATGAGATGTTGCTCTAAAGTAGAAAACCCAACACATAAGTAAGTGGCAGCCTAGAGTTGACAAAGATGAAAAATTGGACGAGTAAACACACAACTACATACTGCATTAGTACATTTAGTTCAAAATCTATACTCCAAGTAATAACAGTGTTTGCAACTAAAGCTCCAATGCAACTGTTACCTCCACTTGTGCTGAAGTGTATGCTGGATCCAAATTCTGGAGCAGAACAAGGGTGCCTTGCTCATGTGCAGCCTGAATTCTATCCTCCCAAGGCTGACATTGATAAAAGACATTTCATCAGTCCAACATGGCACCCACTACCGTCCACATTAAAACATCCATTAAATGTCAATTTAAAGGAACTTCTCTTTTAACTTTTTTGGTGAAAGTAATTACTAATTGAGGTTCAAATTGAGAACACCCCATTATGTTTCCTTGCCCCTAGGCAATAGAGTGGAAGACAGTTTTGAGGCCTTACAGGTGCAATGCACTAGAATCAAATTCAACAATAAACAAAAACTTGAGATTCAAAATTAACAATTAAAACCAAGAATATAAGTGAAAATGAACAACTCACAAATCCCTTGAACCATGTTCTTCTGTCCTGCAAGAATGAAGATGAGCAACTGTAAGAACTAAATACAAGGTTAACTTTTTGGGAATCTTTATGTTATCATTTTGGAAGAACTAGGCATTAATAACACAAAAGAACTAACAGTAAACCTGACTACCAAACCCTCAACTGGTGTTTAATAAGCACTTGTAGCCAAAGCGCTTTCTAAACAAGTAGTTCCAAGTGAGCTTTAAAGCGCTTGCGGATAACCAAAAAACTTCTTCAACGCTTGGTAGAAAAACTTAAAAATGCTTGTGGCTTATAAAAGCACTTATGAGCCTAGTATTGAGGGTGGACGTAGGGTGACTTGCACGAGTAGGTTAGGTCCACAGTTTGAAACCATCTAATGTGAAAATAAGAAAAGATTAATGAGTATAAAATCACTTATGAGTAATCGTGCTTCCTAAAAAAGAAAGTGCCCTTGGTTATCTAAAAATGCTTTTATCCATTCTAAAGGAAGTTCCAAATGAGCCCTTCCCGGTTGTTTGGCCTCCTTAGCTAGGATTGGCTTAGTTATTGTCCTAGTTCCTTGTTTGGCATGGTTAAAGGACTAGCTTTAATGAGATTAAGTGGGACGAGCCTTCGCGCCTCACCTCTAATACCGTGTGAAAAGTTGGGATTAGCAATACGTGTTCATTGTCCCCATCGTTTTCACCCATTTCAACGAGAATCCTCTCCATCATGAACTTCCACTCAGTGGTGAAAGGCTGCGCATGATCTTGAGTGCCTCGTCGTCCCCGCCACTTAAGAGCTTCTGCTGCAAAAGGGCATCAATGGCTTCTGAATTCGAACCCATTCGAACAAAGGCGATGAGGATTGGTTGTTCTCGTTAGGTGGTTGTGGGAGTTGCCTAAGAAAAGGGTGCGGTGGTGCTCGGGTAGGAGGAGGCCATGATTTTGAGGGATTGGATCTGGGTTTCAAATGGGATCCAACAAGTAAATGATCGAGCTTAGCTTTCGTCTTGACTTCTGGGTTTTTCATCTTGATCTTCCAACTTCCAGAGGGATTCGATTCGAGTTTCAAATGGGATTGGAGGGATTTGATTTGTCGTGCCTTCTAGAGCTCTCCAACTTCTTGAGTTGGAGGGAGAAAAGGAGGAAGAAGGGAGAGAGAGAATGGCACAAAGAAAAAGAGGGAAAGGTTTAAAGAGAGAGGAAGAGGTTTCTATAAAAAAGAAAAAGATAGAATTAATATCAAAATACTAATAGATATGGATTAAATAATATAATATTAGAGTTTGTATAATTATCCTGCACCCAACACTTAACTAAGTCAGTCCAGCTTAGTCTATTCTAAGTCAGTCCGGCTAAATCCATGAAGCTAGTCTAGTCCGATTTAGTCGATGCAACAAACGCACTCTTAGTGTTCTAAATGAAAGGAGCACAATGAAGAAGGAAACAAGTAAAAACTACTTTCAACCCAATAAGGGTTTCACCACGTGGACACTAATCAAATTTAGCAACGATGAGAACAAGGGAGATACCTTAACTACAAATAAAATAGTGGAACATTGTTGCCATTACTATAACTACTAGCGAAATAATTCATGACATGAACTCGCACACAACATTTGGGAATGGTTCAACTTTATATATTTGAACTCCATAAGTTTCAAAATTTACCATAATTCTGCATGGCAAGAACATGAAAAACAATTGACGCGAATGGACAATTTGATGAAGAAACATTGTCAAGTCATGAAAGAAGCACTGCAAATTTGAAGTTTGGTTGATGATTTGAATATTCCTTGAAAACTTTGGTAGTTTGTGATAGCCTTGACATTATTCATTTAGAAAAAAAACCAATTTTGGCAAGCCATGAAGCAATTCTTGTGTAGCACATGACACACAATGTCCACACCACAATTAAGTACAAACGAGAGTCAACTCGCCACAGGTGTACAATGAATGAGTGCCAATTCTTTGAGTAGAACTCAATTATCGAATGCTACAATCAAGTGCCAATTTGTGCCTTAACTACAAAAGCCTTAACTCCAACATCCTACCTCTACATAATTAGAGCATCTCCAAGGATATGCAATTGCGAAAACATAACTATCAACCTTCTCCAAAGTATTTAACGTTCCAAAATCAACGCTAAAAGTAGTTCCAATTATGACAACCTAGGGAGTCGCCAAAGTTTTGCATTGGAAAAACCCTCAACCATGAGAGATAGGATATATGGACACTCCACCATATAAAACAATGCATGGTATTTGTAAGACCCAAAGAAAAAAACATGCTAGAAATGACACCAATATTCGACTTAATGTGGGGAATAACGACAACTCACACTCTCAATAAGGGAATCATTTGGACTAGAATGAAAAGAGGAAAGAATGGCATTACTTACAACATCGGGACGTCGAGTAACTTCTTGGCCATCAACCTTTTCGGCCATACTTTGAGATTGTGTAGGAGGTACTTTAGGCAACTTGCCATCACAAGGTGCCATGGCTTTCTCATCGAGCTTTATCTTCTTGCAAGACTCTTCATTTGCTCCACGAGAATCCTCTACATGTTTGACTTTACGTTGAGATGCTTTAGGCAACTTACCATTGTTGCCTTCGGAAATGGTCATTGCCTTGTCATCAAGCTTCATCTTCTTGAGAAGGGCATTGTTTGTTCCAAGAGAATCCTTTGCACGCTTAAGTTTGGATTTATCATCAAGAGCAGAGGTAGACGATGATAAAACTTTTGTAGCATTCACATGCTTTAGGTCACTACTTTTGCTTTTGTCATTGGGCACTTCAATCGAAGATTCAAGCTTCGGCTTTTTAGATTGTCCATGATCCACTTCAACAGGAACATTTGGGGATACAACCTTTGTAACATTCATACAACTCAGGTCACTACTATTCTTTTTGTCATTGACCACTTCAATTGAAGTGTCATTCTTCGCCTTCGAATCACAAACATTGGTACATTTTTTCTTTCTTTCTACCTTCGCAAGTATTTGCTCACTACCTTTACCATTATCAAGCTTCGCCTTCTTGGTTGGCCTATTATCCGAATCAACGTTATCCTTAGTGAACATCACTTTTTCTTCCACTTCAACTTGTTGTGCATGAACTTTACCACACTTAACCTCACCTTCATCACTTTTAACTTCAGAACTCAACAAGACCTTGGGATTTGACACATGTTCCTGTTTTTCATTCATTTTATCCTTTTCATTTGAATTTAAACCTACACCATAAGCAGGTTTTTCTACAAGTGATGGTTTATGCTTAACCAAATCACCCTTTTCTAGTGTTGACGAATCAACAATATTTCCATTTGTCTCTAAAGTGATATTTTCTTTAAATGAATTTTTGTTTGATAGAACCACTGTTTCATTACTTGCTATGGAATTCCCACAAACTTCATTTTTTCCTAAATCAACTTTCAGAACGCCACCAGGCTTCTGAATATCCCTTCTGTTAAACATGAATTTAACTGCAACAATTACATAAACAAAGATATAAGACTCAAAATATGAAAATAAACATGCAACTATAAGTCAAACTACAAGGGTCCGAGTTGATAGATATACATACCATCAATCCCAGCAATTGCTCCCTCTATCTTGTCAGTGATTTTTTGCAGCCCAACATCAAAGGTTCGACGAAACACAAATTCGGCCATTTGAAGCTCTTCATCTGATGGTTGAGGATTTTCCTTGTCTTTTGAAATGCAAAGAACATTGCATTTTCCAGCAATGGCTTCCTGATTTGATTATAAAACTTCAGCAACTAGACCATTGATCTTTAATAGTAGAATATGAAATAATTGTCGATTTATATCTTAACAACATAAAATTTTATTATGGTATCAAAGCATGAGAATTCAATGTTGAAGTCTCTGCAATTGTACCTTCCAACAAAGCTTGAAATCCACAAATGAACTCTTGTGATAAAGAGAGTCCCAAGATTGGGGGGCAGTGTTAGAACATAACATAACCGTTGGTCCACATCTTAACTTGTTAAGATTGTGCTACAATGCTATCATATTATAAAGTCTAAATACAATTCCTACTAACCAAGACATGCACATAATATATTTTTCTAAGTGCTTAGTTTCATTTAGCGCAAGAATATTTACAATCAGTTACCAATTGAAACCACTTAGTGGGAAAAGGCTTTGTTGTTGTTGTTGTTGTAGTTACCAATTGAAACCATTTCTCACTTGTAATATTACCATGTCTATTAGGGATATAACATCTATCAAATACTACCAAAAGTTCAAAACCCAAGTTCAGCCTTAGCATGTATTTGTAATTGTGTGTGTGTGAGAGAGAGGGGCAACATGTAATCTGGGAGAGAGAGAGGGGCAACATGTAATCTGACACAATTTATGTCATCACAAGGGGAATGCAAATCTTATTGTATTGCTGGAAATCAAAGTTGTAAGGATTGCCAATTAGAGTCTTTTAAGAAATATAAAAAATAGAACACTAAGAAGCTTAACAATGTTTCACGGTCCTACTATATCAGAGAAGTAGAATTTGTTGTAAATTATATTCAAACACGTCAACCAATCTATAAAAGAAACTGCACGGTTTAGTCAACTCGGTGAAAAATGAAGTGAAAAATTGAAGACAAACTTGGCAGCAGAACGAAGAAAAGAAACAATAGCATTGCAAAGATATATAGTATGGAAAGTTCCTGCATCATTATTGATTGAAAATCAGAAAGACTATATTCATTTAGGCTAACAAACTATATACCACACCTTTACGTGATCAATTAATCATTCCATTTCTAACAAATACAAATGATAAAATTAGTTAAGAGCATAAATCAAAATGTAAGTACCAATGGATTAAGATTCGCAAGGCCCACACCATCACCGGATGCCAAGAACAACTCATTCTCAAGTACCTCTTCACATCCAAGAAAATTTGAAATCTCACAAGGACGAAAAAACCATAGAACTTTAACTTTCCTTGTCTTCTCACCAGTTTCCCATATTTTTATTAGCTTTCCAATCTCAGGCTCAGGTTCATCTTCCTTGTAAAGATAAACGCAATCATACAGCGTGTACTCTTCACCATCAAAAGTAAAAGATTCATAACTGAACGTCCTTATTTTTCCCTCCCTTTCCTTTCTTCTTTCCCCATGTAAATTCAAGCTTTTCAGTCCGTGTATCTTGTTCCATATTCCCCCACCAGGCCTCTTCAAAAGCAGACTCACAGTTAACCTGAAAAAGTAGGAAAAACCTATTACCAATATTTTGATAGAACAATTGCCAGTCAATAATGTAAGAAGATAATGATTCCCGAGAACAATTTACACCCAAAAAATCTTTTTTTTTTTCCACTACGGTTACCAATCCCGGTTTATCTTAAGCAGAAAACACTACTGCAGTTCAAAGGAATAAAGAGGAATACATTCAAGCGAAGTGAAACTGATTCAGGACAGTACTAAATTTGTCTTATCTTAAGACTTAAATAACTGTTCGATAACAAATCAAGACCTTCTCTCCATAAATTAATAAAACATCTTTTTTTTTAATTAATAAAACATCTTTCAATTGATACAAAAACAAACCCTAGAATCCCAGACTCCCAATATCCTGGAACACTAACACTGCACTATCTTGTGCCTCCGATTTAAGCAATCAAAATTACATCCCGAAGACCTCCGAAGGGGGAAAAAAACTAATTAAATGATGAAAACCACAGATAATTACACATAGAACAATCCCCAAATGCATGAAATTCCAAAACTTTTCAACCAACCCAAAAAATCTGACAATTAAATCAAACGAATAAAACCCAGATACAACCACCAATCAAAGAAACAATTCGCGAGTGAAAATTTAACGAATTAAAACAATGAGAGGGGCAAAATCGAACCTTACAGCGGCTCTCTGCAGAGCCGAAGACAGTAATCGATGCAATGCTGGTTCTCCAGAGAACAGGAAGAGTGCGAACCCTAAGCCGATTCGCTTTGTTTGTGAACTTGTAAGCCGATTCGCTTTGTTTGTAAACTTGTTCTGGTTTCTGATGAAAACCCCTAAATCGATCGCTCGCTGAGATGCCGCGCGGGACTCTTCCTCTACTCTCCTCGCTCCAATTTATAGAATTTCTCGACTGTACTTGTCTCTCTGTAATTCTTTTTTCTTTTTTACATTTTACTTTTATTTTTTGAGCGAGAGGCTATATATTCTATATTCTATATTCCCTCTAATCTAACATATGTTTTTAAATGCTATATAATATAAAAACATTTGTTTTTTGATGTCTCTATCATTCTTTTGTATTTTTTGGAGAAGAATACACTTATATATAGAAATGTTTGATTTGATCAGTTATTGTGTTTTTTTTTTTGTGTCAATTAGTTTATTTTTAAGGCATATGTAATTACTAAAAATGAATATAAGAGAAAAAAAATCATTTTGATTTCTAACTTTGTTATATAATTTTTTTTGTTAAATAAATGAGAGAGGATACGCTTAGCCTCATAATGGGTTAGCTGTAATGTGGTTCAAAATTGTCTTTAGTGAAAATCGAATATAAACTCTCACTTACAAGTGAAGAATAATAACATTAGATCGTAGTATTAAATGTTCTTATTAAAATTTAATTAAGAATACAAAAATGTGGATTCTATTAGGGGCATATATGCTTTACTTTGAGCGAAAGAAATCGTGGAATACTGTTTAGTTGTTCAAGTAAGGACGATAAAGCTCGGTTGTTTATATGTGGCATACTTAATTTCAACATGTTAAACGATAAATATTAATCACACACATTTTTTCTCCTCATTTCTCATTAAGGCTTAAAATATAGTATCTTTATAGAGGATAAAGTCTCTCTTGGTGATATTCTTATTATAGCTCGTTTACTAATTTGTAAGTAAAATGAAAGAAAAGAAAGTAGAAAAATCATAATTGGATTTTCACATTAGAACTGCTTACTAAACTTTATAGAATTAGAGTAAATAATATTATTTTTATATAAACTTTCTACTTATTCACCTGAATCGAAATGAAAACAATATAATTGAAGCATCAAATCAACTTTGACTTCACCTCTTCAATGAACTCGATATGACGAAATCAACCATCTATACACACGCACATGGGAGGTGACATACATTTTGTTCCTTTCGTCTTGTAATTTAAATTTTTGCTCTTTTTCTTTTTCGAGTATCCATCAGTTTTACATGGCATGATTCTCCTTCGATAGTTGTTCGTGCTACTATGTTTTCAGACTATGTTGACTTGTCTGATTACCACTTCTCAAATTAATGTGCATGTCGGCATCCAGATTTGTCTCACTTTCTTGTTTTCTCCTAACTTTATGATGTCATTTGACTTATTTTGCAAGTTTAGACCTTTAGGTTTGATTCTAGAGGGGTTAGGTTTCATGTCCCCCCTTTTCCTTTGTATCATTCTTGTTTTTTTTTTTTAGAATGATAAGGTTTATGTCCCCCCTCCTTTTTCTTTGTATCATTCTCGTTTTTTGTTTCTAGAAGGGTAAGGTTTAGGTTCCCTCTTTTTTTTTGTGTATTCCTTTTTGTTGTCTCTGTTTTTTAGGGGTAAGGTTTATGTCTCCACAAACTAGGTGTAACTTATTTTTTTGTTATCAATAAAATTACCTTGTACCGTCGAAGTTTCTAAAAAAAAAAAAAAGTATCTATCAGTTTAGATTTATTTATTTATGGGATATTGTGAGATTTGTTGACTTCTGCCTTGCTAAATGTGAACTCTTCAATATGTGGTGAAGGAAGCTGCTATCACTGAGTACGTGAAGCTTTCAAAATGGCTAGAGGTATGGTGCAGGCCTTACAAGAGAAAGGTTTGCATCGATGGTTAACCATGTGTTTGTGAGAGGCGTGGATGGCATGATTTAGAGGGCTTGGTTTGCAAGTTTCAAAATCGTGTTTCATTTGGAGTGAGAGCAGAGATTGTAGAGCTTACTACAATTCCATATATCAAGGTATGTGAACTACAGTCACATTCGTAACCTCCTTTTGATACCTGACATATGCTCAACAGTAATGTTTATTTATTTATTTGTAAATGGTATGTGCTGATCTGTAGGGTTCTCGAGCGAGGGCACTCTATAAAGCTGGCTTGCGTACTCCTTTAGCAATTGCTGAAGCGTCCATCCCTGAAATAGTCAAAGCTCTTTTTGAATTTTCATCATGGAACGAACAAGGTGATGCATATAAGATTCTAATTTTAGTACACGGCTTCTCAGTTTCCTGTGATAAGTTCCTGGTAAATGATATCTTAATATCATCTGATGTCCTGATAAGATCATGTTCTTCTAAACTATGTTTGATTTGTGATGGTTACCAGGACTATTAAGAAATAATTGTTTCTTAGCTTAGTTCTTAGCATTTCTTTGCTTTGGAGACATTCTGAAAACCCGAAGTGTGTTTCTTAGCTTACTCCATGCATTCTCTTTGACCTTTAAAAAAGGAATTGAGTTTATGTAACATTACAAACCAGTAACTACAGAAAAGAATTCTGCCTAAGAAGGAAAATTTTAGTGTGTGATAACTAATTCCAAGACCTTTTTCTGAACGCGAATCTCTTTCTGGTCTTTCAATGAAATGCACAACGGTACTCTTTCCAGTCAAGTATTGTACAACAATTAGCTTTCTAAATGCATGTAAGTTTGCTCAGATGCATTTGTTTCATATGCTTGTTTGCCAGCGGGATTGTGATAATATTTGTTCATATGGATGGTTCTAGCTCTATAGTTTATGTACTTTATTTTATGAAGATGAGTTTTTGCCCACTTTTCTTTTATAACTTATTTTACTATTTCTTAAAGTTATTTTGATTTTATTGCGTATTTTTCCTGCATTCTTTCCTAATATTGGTAAGATGATACTATGACTGCAGAAGGTTCAGCTCAAAGGCGCATCCAAGTAGGCGTAGCAAAGAAGATCAAGAATGGTGCGCACAAAATAGTTCTTGCATCATAGCCATCATAGTCATCATCATTGTGTCTTGCATCATCATTAAAGCAAAAAACAAACATCATCATTAAAGCAAAAGCAAGCATATCATTATGTCTTTACTCATGATGATGTCCACCAAACTTTTACTTTTACTTTGCAGCACGCAACTTTCATGCAACCCACACCATGTGATATTTCCACCGAAAGCAAACACAAGTCACTTCATTGTTGTTAACACATGACTCATAATTACTCACAAATGTATGAACCAAACACAACAAGTAGCACCAACATCTTTGATTGAGTGATTACTAACAAAATGAGATTATTACAAATGGTGGGAAGGAGCAGCTCATATTCAAATGGGAGAGCCGAATGCTCTCCCTGGTTTCTCTCATCTGCCGCTCCCCCCTTCCCTCCCTCATTCGGCTGAAAACCTTTATCCATACAAAAGCATTTAATAAAAAAAATCCAAAGTAAAGGAATAATCATTCCTTTACAAACATCATCGTGACCTTCCTTTTTTTTTTCAACAAATATAATCATTGTGTCTTTACTCATGATGATGTCCACCAAACTTTTCTTTGTTTAATTTTCTAGCCGAAAGTGAATGCCAAGTTGGCCACTAATTTGGCGACTATCCACCAACATGTATGTCCCACGGTTTTCTGGACCGGTATTTTTAACTGGTGGTGGAAGTCCCAGTATGCAAGGAGAAGGAAATTCCTCTGGTGATAACTCCACTAGTAGCTTCCCTAATGTAGAGCGCAGCACAGAGTACGCTGCTAAAGCATCTTTGGAAGGTAGGGTTCATTCTGAAAAGGCTGCAGAAGTAAAGTGAACTGGTGTCATGCAAATTAAGTCTAGTGCTGACAATTCTAAAGTACATCTTCGAGGGCTGGATTATCTTACTGCTGCGATGGATTAAACGAAAAGTACTGATTTGACTGACCGGGTTGAGTTATAAAGCTTAATTGATAGAACTAGGGCATCTGATGACTCTCTTGCTCTTGAAAAACAGAAACGCTACAAAAGGGAGAATTTGTCCTCTAGCTATAAAAGCAATGCTTGTGGGAAAGGCCCTATTCATGGAGTTAAAACTCTTGGCGGTTTTGATTCCTTCTTGGATCTCTGGGGATCCATCTGAGAGTTCTATTTTGATATTCACTACAACAAACGATCGGAATTGAATTCTGTTGCGCCCTTTGAAATACATGGCATAGCCATCTGTTGGGAAAACTCTCCTGTTGCCTCCGGTTCATATAAAGGAAAATTAACGAAAAATCCAAAAAAACTTCTTTTTTAATGAAAATTCTTTTTAAAGATATAGTGAATAATACCAGGGAAATGTATAAATATGGTTTTTCATTAAAAGTGAACAGTACCAGGAGTATTTTGTTAAAACTCCCAAAAAAGAAACTTCATCATTTCAATCAAAGCATTTCTTAAAGGCAGAAGTGTTTAACTATAATTCTTTCATTCAATATTTACATGTTCATCGTTACTGAATTTGCATTTGAAGATTTTAGAACGATTTATAGGAAGTTAAGAAAAGGTTATCTAGTGAAGCTGCATCAGCTGCTAATCGGAATGGCAGGTGGAAGAATCAGATGCGAAGAGCTGCACATAACGGTTGCTACCATCGGGCTGCAAAAATATGAGCCTTATGTTCTGTTCTTTGGAAGTTAATTGTTGCTGAAGACCTCACTGAAGCCCTCCTAGATTTTGAATTCCCATTGGTAAGTTACTTTCATAGCATCTGACTTAATTTTTTTGAGGGAGCTTCATTTTATTTGAGGTTTACATTATTGCTATTGTTTGTTTTGGATTTAAATGCATGACCACTGTTTAGTTGGGTGCTTGAGAACCAGTACCCAACCCAACCACTTCGACAATAGCTTATTGCTTATTTGTATGCTAGGTTAATATTCTTGCCGACATGGAGCTCTGGGGAGTGGGTCTTGACATGGAGGGATGCTTACAAGCACGCAAGGTGTTAGGAAAAAAGCTAGGGCAGCTTGAGAAGGAAGCCTATAAGTTGGCTGGCATGAAATTTTCGTTATCTACGGCACCAGATTTGCTAATCTATGTATGGACACTTTGTTGTGCCTTGGCGTGTTCGTTAGTGCGGAAACGAGATTCAGATTACAACCTCACCAAATCACACTCAGTTGAACAAAATAAAATACAAGAAATAAAGACACCTAAAAATTTACGAGGTTCGGCAAAAACATGCTTACGTCCCCGAAGAGATATTGCTCTTCACTATGAATAACAGTACAAGTACACATGAGTTAAATCAACATAACTCAATCCCAAATCCCTTGCACACCCACTCATAGCATTTTCCCAAGAGCCTCACTCTACCCAAGAGTTCTTTCACTATAATACTTTTCACTCTAGCTCTCTTGATTTTCTCTCAACCCATGTTTAACCTTTCCCATGGGAGAACCAAATGCTTTCTCCACCTTGGATGCTTTTCTGATGCAAACCTTCTCTCTCGGCAAGCACACATAAAGCAAGCATTTCCTTGCATTAAATAAAGGCCAATCCATCATCACATTTCTTCATAATCATTAAACTAAAAGCAACCACTTTTTTCTATTTTCTTACAAGCATTATCATTGTGTCTTTACTCATGATGATGTGCACCAAACTTTTCTTTGTTTAGTTTATTAGCCGAAAAACATTTGGCTTGTTGTCCACTTTTGCTTTTACTTTGCAGCACTTGTCTGCAACTTTCATGCAGCCCACATCATGTGATATTTCCACCAAAAAACACAGGTCACTTCATTGTTGACAGCTCAAAATATGAGTCAATCACAACACAACTTTTCTTTGTTTAGTTTATTAGCCGAAAAACATTTGGCTTGTTGTCCACTTTTGCTTTTACTTTGCAGCACTTGTCTGCAACTTTCATGCAGCCCACATCATGTGATATTTCCACCAAAAAAACACAGGTCACTTCATTGTTGTCAGCTCAAAATATGAGTCAATCACAACACACTTAAAAGCTGCCCATACCAGAGGGCCGCAACAAGGGGAAACAACACCCAAGTACGGACAAGCACTGCTTGGATTTATTAAGGTATTAGCGAGACTTCTATTCTTCTATCGTACTTCGTAACCTTACCCCCTCTCAGGTGTGAATAAGCTGTTGAAATATAAATACTCAAGCGAATAGGATTACCATTTAGTTATTTGATTCCATAGAGGCTTCCATCCCATTTAGATTGTTTTGTTTGAATATTGAACACTTGAAGGAGATGGTATTAAAGTATTCTTGCTTGCACATTTGAATCTCTTGATTTTGTGGCATCAGCCTCTCATTGTTTTGATGGATGAGCATCCTATAATCGATTTCATTTCAGGGATGAGCATCCCATAATTCCCGTCATTAAGGAGCATCGTACGTTGGCAAAACTTTTAAACTGTACATTGGTATCAATTTGTTCACTGGGTAGGCTCTGTGAGGACACAGAATTAGTACACATTACATGGTCATTGGCTCCAAACATCAACAGCAACTGGTCGCCTTTAATGGAGGAACCAAATCGCCAGGTTTGGGTTTCCCATGCGTCGTTTTATTCTCTCTTCCCTCTCCTTCAGTCGTTAACAAAATTTAATCATTACTATCTTATCACATTTTGTTCTTTTTGATTTATGCAGTGTGTTGAACATATGGTTGACTTTAAAATATATAAGGATGGAAATGGAAACGAAACTGATGTTGATCAATTGAACATCAATGCTCGCGATTACTTCATTCCTACTCAGGTAACGATCAGCTTGCTCTTGTATTTGAAGGCCATTTGTGTGTTATTATTATTAGTGTATAAGCTGTGAGCTAAGTAAAGTTAAAGTAAATAAGCCTTGTTTTGAATTGTATATTCACTTAGTCTTAGATTATGACAAGTGTAAGGCTGAGATTGTATTGTTGGTTGTGTGTATCCAGCTAAGGCTAGCAGTTATGTACTTATGCCTTAGTGCGTGTGTTCTGTGAGATATATATGAAAATATCACCTCTCAGACTTTGAGAGTGAGCAGAGCATTTCTTCATATTGCATCTTTCTCTATTCTCTCAGATTTCTTACTTGCATAGAAACCCAGCTAATTCAAAGAACTTTAACAATTATTATATTTATACCATAAAAGTCAACAAAATTCTCGAGTAGATGAGGATGTGGGGGAGGGTTGGTACAGAATTGTCATATATTCAGACTAGGAAATTTTTTGTGGGATATTAACTAGGAGAAGGGGATGGGATTTATGACTCTATGGTGTACGTTAATTGTTTTATTGTTGTAACTGCAGATTATTCTCAGATAGAATTGCGGCTGATGGCACATTCTCTAAAGACTCTGCACTCATTGAACTCCTTAGTAATCCCATGGTGATGTCTTCACCATGATAGCGGCTAGATGGACTGGGATTCCAGAAGAGTCTGTTAGTTCCCTTGTAATACAATGCTGTAAACATTTCTTTGAAGCTATTCAACTGTTCATTATGTGCATTATTTATCAAATATAGCCAAAAATTAACTCTTAATTTCAAAAATGTCACTTTTTATAAAAACTTTCAAATATATCCAAAATTTCATTTAAATAGACACAAATACCCTCAAATTTAACAATTAAATAAATTAAAGGCGTTTTAGCTACTGTTGCCTCAAGCTTCGGTCCAATTTCACCTTCGCTTCTACACTCCACCACAACCCTATCCCCTTCGACCCCTCATCACTGACATTGAGCCCCACTGCGGTTACCGCAAGTGCGAGTAGTAGAATTTCAATCATGCCGTCAACGTCTTTTTTCTTACTAATATCATTTTTAGTTTTAAATATAAAAAAATAGTTTTTAAAGTTAATCCACATGTCGTTATATGATTGTATTTGTGAAACCCACATGGTGCCACATCATCACGCTAACAGAGTAATTGATAGATTTTTCACGAAAAAACTAAAATGATCACAATGGATAAATTCAAAGAAAGACTAAAATGATTACTGATAACAAATTCAAGAACACTACTATTGATTATCATTAATTGTTAAGGACCATATTAATGAGTTATGTCAATGTCACGAATCATTTTGGCTAAAAAACCTTTAATTTATTTGATTGTTAAATTTGAGGGTATTTGCGTCTATTTAAGTGGAATTTTGGATACATTTGAAATTTTTTTATAAAAAATGACATTTTTGAAATTAAGGATTCATTTTTGGCTATATTTGATAAATACTTATCAAAACCCTAAGGGAAGAAAGCGCTTTTTGTCAAAAATAAAACTTGGGAATAGTAAAGAAAAGTCAAAGGCTCAGAGAAGCTGTGAATTCTATATGTCAGTCAGGTATGACTTTTTCCCTCCCTTCTGTGGGGATGAGGAGTGTGGGTGTTTAAAGGTAATCACTGAAGTGTAGTATTTTTCTCTGATGTCTTCCTTTTACAGGGATCTGCTGCTGACATAATTAAGATTGCAGTGATAAATATATATATTCCGTGATAGTTGAAGGTGTTGAAAGGCCTGATTCTTCTTCTCACCCTGCAACAAAGTTACACGTACTGAAGGGCCGCTGCCGAATTTTATTACAGGTTGGTTTTGGAAATTCTGTTTACAATTCTATAATTTTATGTTCTTTGGTCAATTCGAAATGTAGAGGAAGATATTAAGAAACTAAAATATTTAGCATCTTGTTAGCTTTGTTAATTAAATATAATTTTGCTTCATTTACAAGGCAACTCATGTAACAATGTTTGTTGGTTGTTTCTAACCAGGTGCATGATGAATTAGTACTGGAAGTTGATCCTGTTGTGATAAAGGAGGCTGCTTTGCTGCTACAGAGGAGCATGGAAAATGCTATTTCGCTTCGTGGTATATTTCTAAAGTTTCTGGAACATTGCTTAATGCTCGATAATTTGAGGACATTTGTTTGCTGTACCTAATTTAAGTACTCGTTGTCCAGTTCCGTTGCATGTCAAACTGAAAGTTGGAAGATCGTGGGGTTCCTTGCAACCTTTTCAGGGCGACTAATATAAAGGTAAAGCTGTTGTGCCTGAATCATAGATTTACCAAGGTGTGTTCTTGCTGTTGATCTGAAAAAGCAAAACTTTCTTGCATTGGATGGCTGTGAGTGATGGCCTTACTACCAATCTATGTACTTCTTGTTGTCAAAAGAAATGTTCTACGGCATGTTTTCTAGTCATTTTGCAGCTCTTATTTTTTTTTTACATGTTCTGATGATATATATAATACACAGGGAAATTCACTATGTATTCTGGCTAACCGATGCTTTCCTTGGAAAGATGCTGGACTGCACTGTGACTTATGAGCATGTCAGTCAAAGTTCAATTTTGCAATTATGTCCGCCATCGGCTCACATCATCTAGAAGTTCTTGAAGAAAATTTGCAGAGCGGTCGCTCAGGTTTATGAACTTGTGAGATCCTCTCTCAGTATGTTCCAAGGAAAAATAGCATCCAAAAGTGGTCTACGGGCGGCTATGCTTCAAGCTTTTGTATGCAAAGTTTTATGATGCACTATGTGATAATGCACTGGTTTTCATAACGTAGTGATCAAGGTTGGGGCTGTCCAAAATGTTCAGTTCTGAGAATGTCATCTGTTGCTGAATGTAGTGAGCACAGAAGAACCACCTGGAATAGAAACACTATGCTAAGTGACCAGGTAGAACTGACGGGTTCAAGGATAGTAAGCTCCTGATTTCTTGAACCAGACCAATAGTGTCCTCGAAAAGAAAATGGCAGATGGCAATGGTTCGTGGCTGAACTTTGAGAAATCTGAAGACAGCGTGCTTTGGGTTCCATTTCGATGTCTCTGCACATTGAAAACTGCTAGCTTTATTGTTCATGTTGTCATCACTTTCCAGAGACAGCGTACTTGTAGTCGAGCTTATGACAAACAATTCTTTCGTCACCTGCCAGGTGTTAAAACGATAGAATCATCATTCATTGTATCAGATGTTTTTAGTCTTCGATTGTACAAATGTATCTCATCAACTCAATATATCACATGTATCAAATGTATTCATTGTACAGCATGATAATATAATACACACCTTATGCCTCTGATGAGTTATCGAGGCCGTTCACTTCAGTCGTCTTCTCTGCCTACGCCTCTTTCACACCGTCTTTTTTTCCGATCCTGCTTACCCTTGCAAGCGTGTCCCACCGCGTCAACCATTTCTACCAATCCTCCTGCTGCTGACCGTCTTCCTTTCTGCTTCCTGAGATCGTTCTAGTTTTGAAGAGCCACCGTTTGATTGCTTGTGTTGACGGATCTCTCCCCTGCCCACCTGAATTCCTCAAAGACGACGACAAAGGAAATGATACTCATCTTCACTCCAGGCACTCCTTTTTTCACCTCTGTCGACACTGCTTAAATATTTCTTCGGACGTGGAAAGTTTAACCGTAATTTGAACTAACGCACCAATTTTTGGGATTAATTATGTGCAAAACTTGCAGTCCCTTTCATAAGCATGCATCCCCTTCGACACCTAAACCCTAATATGTCACTTTCTTCACATGCAAGTCACTTGTTTCATTCGATTTTTTAGTTCTCTCGGTTATAGCACGTAGGGTTTGCATTCTCAACTTTCACACCAACGCACTCCGAGTGAGGTCAGCATATCGATTGGCCGATATAGCTGTCTAGTTTAGTAACTCTAATAATGCAAATACGACAATTAAAAAAGCAACCATGACATCACCTGCCATATGGATAAGTTTTGTCCCTCTATGAAATAGATAAAAAACTATGTGTCTCGAAAATATAGTATTATAATTTGACAGTGCATTTATATTTATCCATGTCCCATTATTCTTCTTTTGGAAAATATGTAACTTGCATAATAACCGAGGAAAATCCAGACCCATTTTTTCTATCAAAGCTAGTATTTCCTGTATGCCAACTCCTTCAAAACATCGGCAAGATCTTTCTCACCCTTAACACTCTGAACCCACTTGGCATTGATTCGCACCCTGTTGAAGAATCAACACCAGCCCAAAAGGCCCATATTTAATTAAGCCTAGTTTATTTGTGAAGAAATTCCTACATAACTCTAGAATAAGAAGTTGGTTAACAAACCAAATTCTAGAGTAATCTAAAACACTAAAGAATAATCTAGATGGGCATTCTTAGCCAAGTAATAAAGTCGGCAATTAAGAAGGGCTTGTATGTCGGTGCAGTGTGTGCATGAATATGCACTAGAAAGTGCTAGTGAGGTCGGCAAACATGCCTATAAATATGGGTGTGGTGCTATGTAACCAATCAATCAAGAAAGAACCAATCAAGAAGAAGTAAGAATAGTTTTGTAGGAGTGTGAGTGATTTAAAGTGTGTCTCTAAAAAACAAGTGAGTGTCATTGCTTTTAAAGTTGTCTTTGTGAGTGTTGTAATATTTTGTGTGTATAATACAAGTAATTTGTTTACTTGTGTTGTCTTTTCAACACTTGTGTTAGAGTTATGTATTCTGAGTTTTCCTCAATAATTGGTATCAGAGCGGTACGATTAGAGACCGTCTCTAGTGAAGCATTTTAGAATCGTGAGAAGTTTAGTACTTCGCAAGATTGTTGACTAGTTTTGTTCGGCTTATCGAAGTTCTGCCGACACGATGGGAGATCTTCAAGTTGTTGGAGGAATAAAAAAAGTTGAACAACAACAATTACAACACATGGGCGACGTGTATGGAGTCTTACCTACAAGGCCAAGATCTTTGGGATGTCGTCGACGGTAATGAAGTTACGCAGCCGGAATAAGACACCAACGGCGCTCTGCAAAAGTGGAAGATCAAGGCAGGAAAAGCCATGTTCGCCCTAAAAACCGTAGTCGAGGATGACATGTTGGAGCACATACGGAAGGCTAAGACACCGAAAAAAGCGTGGGATACCTTCGCCACACTCTTTTCAAAGAGGAACGATACAAGACTCCAGTTCCTTGAGAACGAGTTGTTATCAGTGGCCCAACAAGACATGACGATTGCCGAATATTTCCACAAGGTAAAGTCTATTTACAGTGAAATTTCTGAGTTAGATCCTCAGTGTACTCTCAGTTTTCCTCAACACACCCGCTCAACGCTCTGCTTCAAGGTTCTAGTTATCGAGGGGATACGATGGACTTTGAAGAACTCATCTACATCTTTAACCTTCTCAAATGACGCTAGCTGCGTAGCAAGGAAGGTAATTACACAAGGATACAAGGCCCCAGATACGAGAACAATTAAAAGTTTAGAGAGAGTGAGAGAGAGAGAGAACGAACCGGTGAAACAATTTCACTGACAATCTGAATAATTAGAAATCCAGAACACATTTTGAGATGTGCTCCCAATTATCCTGTGTTTCGGATATCATCCCCGAAGGCAAAATGAACCATATTAACAAGACCAGGAAAGAAACCAAATCCATGAATGTGGGTACGTACATTTCATAGAATGTGGGTACGTACATTTCATAGTATGCATGCTCATTAGAAACTAGTGGTATTGAGAGTTACCTTCAGCCACGTCCAAGCTGTTACCCGTCCTTCCCTACTAACTGAG